TGGACAGTCTGACAACATGGTAAGGAAGGTCATCTGTGTCAGAGTTGACTGAAAGTTTACAAGACACTGTCCAAGACATGTCGCAGACAGCGAAGCCATCTGGGACAATTCCTCACCTCAGTCAAGACAAGGCTGTCTGGTTACATGGGGAGATATGGATTCCATTGCAGTCTTTATCAAGACTATTAACCTCCTGGTGCAAGTTTTCTGACAGAAGGATCGAAGAACAAACAAACAAACCTTAATTCTAAATGCTGACAAATTGGACATGCAAGCCCATTTACATTCAGCCCTTTAATCTTCTTCAAGTTTACCAGCTGTAACTCCAGTTAAACAGTCTGGTTGTTCGTCCACCTCTGGACTTCATTTTCGCTCCAGCTCCTACATATCTGACTTATCTGAATGCAGATTGTTGGCTCCTTGCCTTTCGAAGGAAGCTCCCAATTGGCTCTCTCACTACATGCTTGTTGAGTAGGTCTATTCTGGTTTTCCACTGGGGCCCTAGAAGCCCTACAGAGGATTTAGCCCTTTCAAACACTCATCTTTCCCATAAACTGTGATGTATTTTATCTTAATCAAGGATTTTCTCATTTAAGGGAAGACTTTCTTATGATGCTAGTCAGCTACAGGTCTTACAAACCTTCTTCTTCCATAGGTTTTCTTGTGAACAGAATGGCTTAGGAACCATGATATCAGAAGGAGAGTTGGCACAGAACCAATCATGAACTTTACAGGTAGACAACAAATCAAATGATTTGGTCATGTAACAAGATTGGCAGCAGACAGGGCACCACAGAGAGTAATGCTATACAGATACAATGGTAACAGAGCCAGGGGTCGACAACGCAGAAGATGGGCTTCAGAACTATCAGAGACACTGAAAAGTACTTTATACGAAGCAAACAGACGGGACCGTTCCAGAGATCTCTTCCTGCCCTGACGCCACAAGGCATTCCAGGAGTCGAGAGAACGAGAAGAAGAATGGCTTTTACATTCTGATATCATAATCAGCTTGTAGCCTTAGTGTTGGAATTCTGCCGAGGCCACAGTATGAGTCGCCCAAACCATTGTTTAAGGAGAGATTTTTGAGTCTGTAAAACTTATTTCACATAATTCTATCCTATACATAATGTTTTACATGTCCGTATCAGTAATCAATCAAATGACATAACAAAAATGTGTGTTTGTCTATGGAACAAATAAAACAAAACCTAGCACACAAGAAATAGGTGTAAACATCAATTAAATTACAAAATCCCTTGCCGAGGCAACAGAACTCGGAAAACCATGCAAAATATCGCAATATACACAAGCAACTGGCCAGGATCCCAAAGCATGCATAAATAAGTATAATCCAAACATGTTCGTCTTAGCACAAGAGGCAATAACTAGCAGAGGATATCTGATATTCTCTACCACATTACTAATGCATGCAAAAAGTACAATGAATACAAAATATTTTAAAATGCAGTGGACAATAGGAAAGAATCAGGTTATTATCAGCAAATCTTTCTTCATCCTGTGCCCAAAACCATTGAAGCAAGTTGCAAGCATCACCTACAGCCACATCTGACTCCTTTTCTGCAACAAATAAACTAAAACAACTTGGTCCACAATGCTCCAACTCTGGCCAGGTTCATTCGCCTCAGGAAATATGAAATGCTTGGGGAAAAAAATGCAGATAACAAACGAACATACACACCCTAGAGTTCCTACAGTTCAGACATGTTATGGATATTTCTGTGGCAAGAGCTTAGAGAACAGAAAAGTTATTTTTTGTGTTTTCTTGTTTGTAACTGTTTTACTGTTCCTTTGTGTTGTATGCTGATGAAGGTTCTGTAACCGAAACGTTTATTTGTTGTATCTGACTGTGATACTGTGATTAGCTCTACTTCTGATGTGAACTGACATTTGTATGATACTTCACAAACACGACACAGCCTGACCTGGCCACAAAGTCAGTACCTTCATTAGGAGCATCAACCAGACTGCTGCAAGGATGCTTATATCTTAAATACCACCGACAGTGTCAGAAATACTGTACAAAATAACTATGAGCGCAAATAACATTTTTTTAAAAAAAATTTTTTAACAAAACAATATCAAAATGAGCAACGTAACAATAAAAATACATTAAAAACATTAAAAATCATTGTTAACTTAACTCCAACAATGACAACTACCATTAATACAACTGAGCATTCTGCAAAAATATCATGCGTGTTCTTGAGTCAGCAATGGACCACTCATGTCTTTGGCACATCAGACATATGATGCTGGACTCATCTTGTAGACCATTATGTACATGATTTGTAACCAACACCACACCAACCAACTTTACTTCCCTGGACTTTTCCAGATATCCATTTTAGGCTGGGTTGGAATGAAAGCTCTAAGTCAATGATAAGAATCTGCCTTTAAGCAGATTTAAACCCACCGAGCCACTAGCTTTGGCATGGCAGTTAGTGCTCTTTGGATATTGTCTCTGGGCCATGCAAGAGTGTTGGGAATTGAACAACCTTAATTATCCGCCTTTTATGACATGCTTGTTAGGAAGGTGCAGTGGTTGCCAAGGTGACAACAACAACACAGCGCCCTCTTCACTGTAAACAACATTAAAAAAAATACAAATTAAAATTAGGGTGCTTTCCCAATATCTCCCCCCTTTCCCCCTGGATGACATCACAGGACAGTCCAATATTTCCGAGGTTGGTAAGAGTAGTTTTCCCGGCTTTCCAATGCTTTTAACTATCCCAAAACATCCCGACCCACCTACGTCCCATGAGAGAGTGAAGCCTATGTCCCACGACTGCATGCAGCCTATCTACCATCCCCTAAAATATTCGACTATCTGTTTAGGGGGAGATATTGGGATAGAACCAACATTAGTTCACACGCACTAATAAACCAGTACAGCAACAACAACAAAACCAAAGATATAAAACATAAAGCATATTTCCCTACCACAGATTTATACTGATGAAGTGAGTCAATGCTTCTAAATGCAGGTATTTGAAGGTGGTGAAGGCAATGAATTATAAACTGTGATCTAAATGCACCTGTACTGATTCTCCAAGGGGGAAAAAAGAGACACAAATCAGAACAGGAACCTTAATACCAAGAATAATGCTGCAGGCAATATGTATGGTAAAAAAAAAAAAAAACTGTACTTGTAGCAGGATGTGGCCACCGGCCATGATTGATATCACATTTTAGTGGTCCAGATTCTGACATACTGGATCTAGATCCACCACAACTGCCAATTACTGACTTTATTATACCACTTTTGCAGTGTGGGGGAGGATGGGGGGGTTGAACCTGAGGATTTACGGCCTCATGGCTAGTGCTGTCGCCTCGACTGTGCAGGTGGAGATGTTATTTTGCCCCCCTCCACAGAAAAAAATCCCCAGCCTTACCGAGGATTCAAACCCAGTTGAGAGCCCAGTGTTCTAACCATTCGGCAAGCCGCTCCTCCTAGATCCACCACCCTAGTCAAATCCAGTCTTCAAATAACTAAGCTATGACAAGCATAACAGGCTGACAACCTTTCAAATGTCTTCCAATTTGTCTGTATTTGTTCAGACATTCTTCCAAATTAGTTTATAAATTCTGTCCATTTTGTGTGAAATTTGTCTATACTTATTTGATATTCTTCCACATTTGAAGATATTTTTCTCCATTTACTTTTATGTTCTAACTGGTTTTTCTTTTTTTTAAAGTGTTCTTCATTTATTTGTATATTCTAAATGTGCTGAAAATATCTTCATTTTTTTTTTTCGGCTTCTATATTTTCTGAAATGTTTTTCCATTTATTTTCTTGTTCTAAATTTGCTGAAATTTGTCTTCATTTATTTTCATGTTCTAAATTAATTTTTTTCATTTATTTTGACATTCAAATTTGCTGAAATGTCTAAAATCATTTTTATGTTTTTTTAATTTGTTAAAACATTTGGTGTTCTTTCCAATTTGCCGAAATTCTGTGAAAGGAACTGACTACCACACCTTATTATGTTAGGACCTAGTGTATATATATATATATATATATATATATATATATATATATATATATATATATGAATGCCTAACACTCCCTGCCTGCCTCAATGAGATTATCAACTCAAAACCTACCTTTACTCCCTACTGCCATTCTGACAAAGTTGCCCAAATGAAAATTACAAGGGCCAATTTAATTAAATGCAACAGATCAATCAAACAAAATAGATAACACAGAACATGTAATGAGGCTAGGTAGGCAAAAGTAGGAAAAACAGATTTCACATGCACGTGGGGGGAAGAGGGAGGATTTGAAAGTAAATTTTGATTGCAGGAAAAAAAAAGAAGAAATTACAGCTCTGCAGGAAAGGGGCAAAAACTGTATCCCATTTATACAGATCTATCTTTGAGTTACATGCCCCTGCTTGACATTCAAAACGAGAACCATCTTGATTCAAAGAAGTGGCCACTCTTTCTCTATTAATGGTTCTTTAACACAAAAGCAAACACAGCATCAATTGTACAGCAAACATGATGACATATCTCTAAGTGAACATTTGTATCAAGAAGACTGGCCCCAAACAGCAATGAGCAGTTATTTGAAGAAAATGAAAACTGACTAAAAACAAACACAGACATGAAGAAGGTTAGTAATAATTTTCTTCAGTTTGTTACATTTCTTAAAAAACAGACTAACTACAATCAAATACAGCCGTAAAGAAAGTAACATTTTTTAAGTTCGTTATATTTCTAGAAGAATATTGACTAAATACAATCAAACACAGTCACAGAAATTAAAATTTCTTCGGTTTGTTACATTTCTTGAAAGATATTGACTAAACACAATCAAACACAATGATAAAAAAAAAGTAACATTTCTTCATTTTGTTACATCTCGTAAAGAAAGATTTGCGATGAAATGTTCAAAAATTACCTAAACAGTAAACTGTACTTTGATTCCAGTTAATCCTAACTGCACAAAATAACACACACACACACACACAGCCTTAATGATCAAAGCAATCACTGGGAGAGTCAAAGACCTCATCCTCCGACATGGGTCTCACGTCGGACAGCTCCACCAGACCCTCCTTTCTGCCGCTGCTGCAGTACAAATACTGGGAGTCCAGCTGGGCAAGGACCTGCGGGGCGGACAGTGGGAGAGGTCATTGTAAGTATGGTTTCATTGTAACTGCATATGAACAACACAGAAACACTGACATCTTGTGGGAGATTAGGGTCACAGGACAACATATTTTTTTAACATGGTAAATATGGCAGATGCAAAAATATGAACGGATAACATAGTTTTGATAGTATAGGTCAAAATATAAAGAGGACAATGTTTATATTTTGACCTCTGCTGTCAAAGCTCATAAATTTATATTTTGACCTTTGCCATGAAAACTCTTCTCTTTATTTTTCGTTCTTTCTGATTAAAACTAGATCATATATTTATATTTTGACCATTAATTCATAATCATGTTATGCCATTATTTGGCACATAGGGCTCGCAGAATATTCCTCCATTCCGTTCTGTCGTGTGCAATCTGTTTAATATCAAGGATGGAATCCAGTCCAGCAGCTTTGGCCTCTCTTATCAACATTTATCTTAGGGTTTCTTTTGGGCATTTTGACCTCTACTGTCAAAATAATGTCATACAGAAGACAAGTGATGAAAGACACACAGATAGCCAACACTGACATACAGAAGACAGGTGATGAAAGATTCACAGATAGCCAACACTGACATCCCGAAGAAAAACTGGAGACACATGAGAAGACTCACCTGCAGGTAGTCCCCAGCCTGAAAGGACAATTTATCAGGTTCTTCTACAGTGACAGATGCTTTCACAGCCTGCACATACCTGCAACAGAAAGGATAACAATAGGTACACAAGCAGCAAAACAACAACAACAAAATCATTTTATCCAAAGTCTTCGTGTTCCTTCTCATGGAGGCATTAATATCAAACACAGCTTTACTGAATTTAATTTATATACTTGTTCATTTACTTGTTTTGTTCATATTTCTACCCTCTTTTAACATATGCCATCTTATTTCATTTCATGTTATAGCCCTTCATATTTTTCCACCACTACGTACTTCTTGGTTTCATGTTGATTAGATTTTTTTTAGCTCTATTGTCTTGTTGAGTTTTCCAGTTAAGGTTTGTGCTGTATTTAGTACTCCATTGATAAAGAATGTTCAGTTGATTTTATGTGCGTCTTTTCTATTCCCTCTGTTGAGTTTTCTAGTCACATTTTGTGTTACTTTTAGCATCTCTAGCAGAACGACAAGCAGCACAGCAACATTCAAAAGCTGAATTCTACCAAACCAGCTTGTGGTCATTTCAGCCCAGCTGCCTGAAGCACAAGCTGCACAGGTGCCATGATTGTAACAGACTCACACTAAATGCTCCAAAAGGTGAAGACATACATGTGGAGTGGCAAGCATCGCTACAGATGTTCATTTAGAAATTGGGGGGGGGGGGGGGGGGGCGCATGCCTGAATATCTGGAACCCTTCCTTTTTTGTGTTCCCCTTTTAAAGGGTGGCTGGAACATTGTGTTGTGGTTTACAGCTACAGGATGACATCTGTGCTCTACAGTCCAGCACAACAGATTTCAACAAACTAATCAACCCCCCACCCCCCACCCCCATGGCTCCTGGCCATCTGGCTGGGGGAAATGGGGGGGGGGATAGACCTACTGTCTCCCTAACAAGCATGTCTGTAAAAGGGCGACTAGTCAGGGCTGTATCCTTTGAAGCTGGAATGCCTTAGAGATGAGGAACCAACAGTCTGCATACTGATAAGCCACATCAGTAAACCCGCAACTGTTGTATGAAAATTTCACCATTGGTTGGTGAACTGTTGTATGACAATTTCACCATTGGTTGGTGAACTGTTGTATGACAATTTCACCACTGGTTGGTGAACTGTTGTATGACAATTTCACCACTGGTTGGTGAACTGTTGTATGACAATTTCACCACTGGTTGTTGAACTGTTGTATGTATGACAAGTTATCTGAGGTAACAACCATCTTGGAGCATAAAGCCAATGGTGAATATAACCTGATCACGTGGGAAACACTGTGTGCGACTACACCATGAAGAATGGCACCCTCTGCTGTCCTTGGGGATTTATGTGGTGAGGCCCCAATCCCTTCATCTGTGTGACTCTCATACCACGGTTCGAATACTACACACAATTTTTTTTTTACCATCTGCTGCTGAAACTGAACCCTGGCACAACGAGGAATGTGGCATTGTGAAAAGCATTCATTAACCTCTTCTAAAAGACTCTGCAGTCATATTACATGAAAACTGAGGACTGCCGATTCAGAACTGAGCCCATGTTGATGGACGGGCATCCCAGCAGGATACTGAACACATGCTACAGACAAGCTCTCTACATGCAGCAGAGAGAGCTCAGGTTTGGCCGGCTGGGTTTCCAATGGGAACCATGCTGTATGGAACAATGGAAGACATGTGTCGCACCACAGACTTCACACAGGCCTGTGGACTTCTCATCTGAAGACCGCTGGCAGGGAGAAGAGAGGGGGAAAAAAAGAAGACTAACCTCTAAACAGGGAGTCGCCGTGGTGTAGCGGCTTGACACTCACCTCCGGATCGGAAGGTCATGGGTTCGTTTTCTGACTAGGGTTCAGCTTTTTTTTTTTTTTTCAGAAATGACCTTGGCTCCAAGATTAACCTAGCTGGCGTGATGCTGACCACATCACCCATCATGTGCCCATTTGTCTATAAAAAATATAGGTCTAGCCCTATATGCCCAATAACCCTAAAGGCAGAGAAAATGGTCCTTTACTTTTAATAACCTCTAAACCTTAGACAGGAATAAATTATATAAAATGGATGATTAGAGCTTCTCCTTCTTTATCCTTGTATTCCCCAATGGAGCACAGCCCCTCAACCAAGTCGTTCTATCCTTCGCTTTTCTTCGCGGTTCTCAAACAAGAAATAAACTATTTTTGACAGTGGTGAAGGAAGACAACTTAAATTTGTACCAGGGATTTATATCAGTACCAGGGATCGTGATCTGTGGAGACGCATGAGAGCCTGTGCCAGTTGGCAGGGCACATGATGATGATGTTAGGGGGACAGTGGGGTATCCAGGAGTATGAAACACACATACCTGTAAGTGGGTACTGCAAAGCTGTCATCAGTCTGTCCATTCCACTGGCAGCTCTGGGTTAAATTCAGCGGCCCTGACTTCTTTTGCTCCCCATTGCTGCTGTCCGACTCTGACAGGGAAGCTTCGGAGCACAGTTCATCCACCTTGGGTGATCTGGCGACTTTAACGGCAGCAACGCTGGGAAGTGTGGTCGGTCTCGCCGCCTGCTCACCTGCTGTGGCAAGAGTGAGTGGTTTAGTACCACCTGACTCTGAGCTGGACAACTCTGCAGCAGAAGGTTGTTCAGATCTCAGGGTACTGGCTGACGTAGGTTTGGTGTTGCCTTCTAGGTGGGAACTGGTATCTGCGGCATGGTCACTGTTCTTTGGATCAAATTTACAAGTTACAATGCTGACTTCGCTCTCCAGCATGAGGTCGCCATAAGGAATATCATAGAGAGACTTTGGCCTGCCTGCAACTTTGTGATCCACTTCCTCCGAGACATCTACCTCTCTATCAATGAAAGCAGACATCGGTCGAGATTTGGGGAAATTCTCTGCACTTTTATTTCTCACAGCTCCGGCAGTGGTAATTATTTTGCAGTTTATCTCCTTCTCTTCTTGAATAATCTTCTCCATGTCTGGATTCTGAGCCTTTGATTTAAAGAAAATGGATTTGATTCGACTGGGTGTTACATCCCCGGCAGTTTTAGATTTCTTGTCAATGCCTTTGACAACTGTGGGAGAAGCACGTGGGGTGGCAGTGCCTGTGTTAACTTTGCCTCTCGGACTCTCAACCTTTGAAACATCCTGAAGCTTTAGAGGACTCACCAAAGGCTCACTTGGTAAAACAGGGCTGGCATCTCCATTCTTATTGGTTCCTCCAGTTTCCGATGTCAACTTCTCAGCCGAGCTTTTATTTTTATCGTATGGTAAAAGAATTCTGTCAAAAAAGGAGAGCAGGTTAAACCCAGATCTCGGAGATTTTTTCTGGGCTTGGGATGTAGCCTGTGGTGTGGTGTTTACAGCACCTATTTCATTGGCCTGATTATTAACATTACTTTTATCATCAGTAGAATCTTCCTTCTTGGCAGTGACATTAGAAATCTCTGGTTGGCTTTCAGTGTCTGGAACTGATTGTTTAGAGCCACACCCCACAATGACTGGCTCATCTTCTTTAGCTCTGACAACACCATCCACATTATCCAATAGTGACATCTTTGTATCATGTACTGGAGTCTTGCTTTCACTGTTTTCCCCCCAATTTCCATTGGTGAAGTCTTCCTTCAGAGCAGCTCGGAAGTATGAGTCTTGACTATTCTCCATCTCGTACCTATCATTAGTTCTACACTCACTAGCCAGCTCCATAAATCGAATAACCTCCACATTTGGAAGTGAAAAAACTCTTGAATTCTCAGCTATTTTGATTGGCTCATCAATCTTTCTCATACGCTCTTGATACTTCTGCACCTCTTCCCAGTCAACATCATCGGACTTAATGGAGTTTGTGTAGTTCTCATTCAGAACTGCAACCTCAGAGTAAGTGCAACCATTGTCACTTAGTTCACTCAACCCTCTTTCAGTCCCTGCAGCATCAGCTCGAAGCAGACCAGCCTTCTTCAAATCTGCTCCACCAGATTCATCTCCTGCCTGCTTCACATGACATCTGCTGAAGCTTTTCTGGACACTGCCATCTTCTTCCTCAATAAACAGATCTGAAGACTCATTACATCTCTCAACTGGACTGCTATGGTCTCTGACCACTGCAGGCAAGGACGAGTCATCAGGGATGGCTATGCTTGCTGAGGCAGCTTTAACCTGCCCAGCCACTCCTTCACTCTCCTGGCCCAATCTAGCAATCTTTGTCTCCTCATCTTTCAAGCTTGCACTGACAACTTCTTTGATCTTTTCTTCATCTAAATTTGTCTTCTGTATGGAAGCCGGTGACCCTGATCCCATTTTAGCCGCCACAGATGCCAGGGCATTTGAAATGGTTGGATTTTTGAACCACCGCCAAGCAGAGCCGCCTCCTGATTGTGCTGAGGATGTTGTCCTTTTCATCTGACTTCCAGCTGTAACTGTGGCAATTACCACTGTCTGCTGCTGAGATAGGTCACCTGTGTTAGCTGGCTCCATGAACAAACCGACTGTTCCTTGGGGTGCCTCCAACAGTCTGGACTCCCCTGCAGCTGTTCCCTGTTGATACAGTAAAAACGGTTCCATAAGCAAGCCTAAAAAGATAGAGACAGACAGGGTGGATTCGGAAAAAATGGTTAGAATCTCTGATGAAATCTCTGAAAGGAATTAGTTTCATTTTTATGCCAGGACACTTTGGGGTAAGAGGAAATGAACGAGCGGATTGGCTTGCTGGCAGGGCTGCAATAGGTACAGGAAAAGCAATGGACTGGGCCGAATTTCTCAATGCTCTCATGTAGGCAGGACGAGAAGATGATTCAGGAGACATTGAAATGGCAACATTCAAAAGACTACAAGGTCAAAAAAAGGTGTCACCAAACAGATGAACAGGTAGCCAAAGAAGAATAGTAAACCAACACAAAACTAGTGTTATCAGTCGCCATAGAACAGTTCTCAGACACCTTGGGCAGGATGTGGAGGTGCTGAACCACATGTGGGGGGTCCATCAGAACCAAGGCTTACACTGGTGGAGACCCATCTACACCTCTCTGTGGTCATCCTTAAAACAGGTTCTCTACCAAGTAAAGGATCCAAGATAGGATCAACATTTTCTTTGGAGTCGGAGTGTCTCTGCCTAAACAGCTAGGAACCAACAGTCTGCACACATAAAAAAGCCAGATTTTAAAAGGAATGTGCAGGTAATACTCATGTCCTGCAACAAAAGCAAAGTCCAGAAGCAGACGAACAACCAGGACTTTACACTGAAATGTACAGTCTGTGTATGCGAAGGAGAAGAATAATGAAATGGATGTGCATGCAACATTCAAGTTCTGAAACATAACCAAAGTTCAGAAGTTGGTACATAACCATAGGACTTTCTGTCTGAGTTTACAGATGGTGAATGCAAAGAAGAAAAAAACAGTAAAAACGATCAGCATGCAAGATTCAAGTCATGAAACATGACCAAAGATCAGAAGTTGGTACATAACCATAGGACTTTCTGTCTGAGTTTACAGATGGTGAATGCAAAGAAGAAAAAAACAGTAAAAACGATCAGCATGCAAGATTCAAGTCATGAAACATGACCAAATTCCAGAAGTGAACGCACAACCAGAATTCTCCCCCAATGGAGCGGACGCAAAGAAGAACAATATCTTGTAGTCCTTATGATTCCTTCAAAGTCGGACTGCATCTGCCTGAGAGGCTAGGAACCAACAGTCTGCATGCAGATAAGCCAGATTCGTAGAATGGATGTGCATGCAAAACTCAAGATCTGGAACAAGTCCAGAAGTGGTCAAACAACCAGAACTTTCTGCCAGAGTTTACAGCTGGTGAATGCTATGAAGTCCTTATGAAAGCATTACTGGTTTCCTAACTCTACAATGTTGCTTCCCTGCCGATCCAAATGCATATGGTTCAGATTCGCATTGGGTGGATTTGGAAAGAACATTTGACCTTGACTCCCAAGTCAACTCAGCCAAAACAAGAAAGAACGACCTCTGCATCTGAAAATGGCAACAATAAGAGGGATGGATAAGTGTGTGATGGTTTGAGAGTTGCACAGGAATTTAGTTAGTCAACAGATTATCCTCACTGCATGTCGAACCAGTCAGTCCATAAGTACTCAGATCCCCCTCCTTAGTAAATACCACAGCATGTAGCGGCTGACAACACCAGCTCTGTGTTGGTTTATTCTTCTTCTTTGGCTACCCGCGTAGTGTTCTTGTTTGGCGACACCCTGTTTAACTTGATGTTCTTGCAGTCTGATGACGGTTGCAGATTCACAGTTCTCAATTGGTTCACACAAACGTCTTGAATCAAATAGATCATTCAGTATATAAGCCTGGTCTTTAGCTTGTCTGGCTTTCAAAGTAGCCTTACCTGCAAGTCTATCAGCTTGCTTTTTTCCTTGTACCCCCACATGTCCTGGCACCAAAATGAAACTAATCCTTGTCAGCCGTGAACATAAAGCCACCAACCACTGCCTTGGAAGTGTGGAGGAGGAAACAACGACACTGAGAACTTACTAATTTTTGACTGAAAACAGTCAAAAATTGCAAAATGCTGGACATTTAATAAAGTCTAGAGGGTTTTCCAAAACCAGACTACAGGGTTTAGCACAAGAAGTGAGCAGTCGAGGTTGACCAAGAAATACCTAGATCCCAAATGTCGCAGCTTGGACTTTAAAAATGAAAACATCAAGACCAGTAAGCGTATCAGATCACAGAAATGGACAAACCTGATCAAATTGTGAGCAATAACTCTGTAACACAACAACATATTTTATTTTCTGATGATAGGCAGAGAGAGGTGGGTAGTTAAGATATGTAGGAAGACAGATGGACAGATAAGATAGGTGGACAGATAAGGTAAGTTGGTAGGCAGGCAGAGATGGATACATAAGGAAGATGGAGAGGTGGATAGATAAGGTAGGTAGGTAGAGACGTATTGGAAGGTAGGTGGGCAGATAAGATAGGTAGGTAGACAAAGATGGATACATAAGGAAAATAGAGGTGGACAGATAAGTAGGTAGGTAGGTAAGCAGGTCTGAGTCACTTCTGGAGTCACTTCTGGTGTCACTTCTCTCAGGCACACTGAGTAGTGACCCCAGAGTCCATTACAGCCCTTGAAGGTTTCATAAGGAAAAAAAAAATTGCAGACTGCTGGATCGACAGCCATGCTGATTTAAAATGAAAAAAAAAAGAACACTGCACCTCTTTGGTGCATGTCAAAACTAGGGTGGCCACCTTTAAGCTGTTACAACCCCATGTCTGTCTGCACCGTGATCTCATGTGCTTAACACTCCTGACATCCTTAGCAACAATACTGACAGGCTGCAAGAAAATTCCCCCCCCCCCCCTATCATTTGTTTACACAGAAGGAAATATAAACACTTACATCAGCAACGGAAGATGTGGAGGCTGTCATTATCAAGCTATCCGTCATAACCAAAGTAGTGATTGGTCCAAAGTCCAACTGGAACGGCAAAACAGCCAGTGGCTGGAGGGCTACCAAAAGGCTGTTGTAAGATTGCTCCAAGACGCCCTGGGAAGGACATTTCCAGTTAAATATGACAACACATTTTACAAAATTATATAAATAAATAAATTAAGGCATTACTGACTAGTTAATGTCTGTGGTTAAGGGGCTAAGAACACAGTTTTACAAATGTGACATGTCCTGATTTGAAGTCAGATGCAGGCTATTCGGCAGCACTCTGCTTTGCATTGATTTTTAAAACAGTATCAGCACTGCACTATTCACACACAAAAACAGCAAAGACAAATTTCTCCTTCACTTTCTCTTTTACCATTTTGAATTTAGATGGAGATATAAGATTCTTATTCTTGCTATTTTGATCACATCAACAACAGACATGTTGATCCCATCACCCTGTGAGACTGATCTACAATATAGCTAGTAGGCTGTTGACCCCATCACCCTGTGAGACTGATCTACAATTTAGCTAGTATGCTGTTGACCCCATCACCCTGTGAGACTGATCTACAATATAGCTAGTAGGCTGTTGATCCCATCACCCTGTGAGACTGATCTACAATATAGCTAGTAGGCTGTTGACCCCATCACCCTGTGAGACTGATCTACAATATAGCTAGTAGGCTGTTGACCCCATCACCCTGTGAGACTGATCTACAATATAGCTAGTATGCTGTTGACCCCATCACCCTGTGAGACTGATCTACAATATAGCTAGTAGACTGTTGACCCCATCACCCTGTGAGACTGATCTACCATCTGGCTAGCATTATGTTGATCTCGGTCTGAGACTGATCAACAATATAGCTAGCATGATATCTACAACATTACCCTGTGAGACTGATCTACAATCTAGCTAGCATGATGTCTACAACATTACCCTGTGAGACTGATCTACAATCTAGCTAGCATGATGTCTACAACATTACCCTGTGAGACTGATCTACAATCTAGCTAGCATGATGTCTACAACATTACCCTGTGAGACTGATCTACAATCTAGCTAGCATGATGTCTACAACATTACCCTGTGAGACTGATCTACAATCTAATTAGCATGATGTCTACAACATTACCCTGTGAGACTGATCTACAATCTAGCTAGCATGATGTCTACAACATTACCCTGTGAGACTGATCTACAATCTAGCTAGCATGATGTCTACAACACTACCCTGTGAGACTGATCTACAATCTAGCTAGCATGATGTTGACCACATCAAATTCCGAGACTGATCTACAATCTAGACAGCATGATGTCTACAACATCAACCAGTGAGACTGATCAACAATCTAGCTAGCATGATGTCTACATCACCCTGTGAGACTGATCTACAATCTAGCTAGCATGATGTCTACAACATCAACCAGTGAGACTGATCAACAATATAGCTAGCATGATGTCTACATCACCCTGTGAGACTGATCAACAATATAGCTAGCATGATGTCTACATCACCCTGTGAGACTGATCAACAATATAGCTAGCATGATGTCTACATCACCCTGTGAGACTGATCTACAATCTAGCTAGCATGATGTCTACAACATTACCCTGTGAGACTGATCTACTATCTAGCTAGCATGATGTCTACATCACCCTGTGAGACTGATCTACAATCTAGCTAGCATGATGTCTACAACATTACCCTGTGAGACTGATCTACTATCTAGCTAGCATGATGTCTACATCACCCTGTGAGACTGATCAACAATCTAGCTAGCATGATGTCTACATCACCCTGTGAGACTGATCTACTATCTAGCTAGCATAATGTCTACAACATCACCCTGTGAGACTGATCTACAATCTAGCTAGCATGATGTCTACAACATTACCCTGTGAGACTGATCTACTATCTAGCTAGCATAATGTCTACAACATTACCCTGTGAGACTGATCTACAATCTAGCTAGCATGATGTTTACAACATTACCCTGTGAGACTGATCTACAATCTAGCTAGCATAATGTCTACAACATTACCCTGTGAGACTGATCTACAATCTAGCTAGCATGATGTCTACAACATCACCCTGTGTGACTGATCTACAATCTAGCTAGCATGATGTCTACATCACCCTGTGAGACTGATCTACAATCTAGCTAGCATGATGTCTACAACATCACCCTGTGAGACTGATCTACTATCTAGCTAGCATGATGTCTACAACATTACCCTGTGAGACTGATCTACTATCTAGCTAGCATGATGTCTACATCATCACCCTGTAAGACTGATCTACTATCTAGCTAGCATGATGTCTACAACATTACCCTGTGGGACTGATCTACTATCTAGCTAGCATGATGTCTACATCATCACCCTGTGAGACTGATCTACTATCTAGCTAGCATGATGTCTACAACATTACCCTGTGAGACTGATCTACAATCTAGCTAGCATGATGTCTACATCACCCTGTGAGACTGATCTACTATCTAGCTAGCATAATGTCTACAACATCACCCTGTGAGACTGATCTACAATCTAGCTAGTATGATGTCTACAACATTACCCTGTGAGACTGATCTACAATCTAGCTAGCATAATGTCTACAACATCACCCTGTGAGACTGATCTACAATCTAGCTAGCATAATGTCTACAACATCACCCTGTGAGACTGATCTACAATCTAGCTAGCATGATGTCTACAACATCACCCTGTGAGACTGATCTACAATCTAGCTAGTATGATGTCTACAACATTACCCTGTGAGACTGATCTACAATCTAGCTAGCATGATGTCTACAACATCACCCTGTGAGACTGATCTACAATCTAGCTAGCATGATGTCTACAACATCACCCTGTGAGACTGATCTACAATCTAGCTAGTATGATGTCTACAACATCACCCTGTGAGACTGATCTACTATCTAGCTAGCATGATGTCTACATCACCCTGTGAGACTGATCTACAATCTAGCTAGCATGATGTCTACAACATCACCCTGTGAGACTGATCTACTATCTAGCTAGCATGATGTCTACAAACACATAGCTCTATCTCACAATATCCTCAACTAACCAACCAGTAACACGAAAAGGGTCCTATACTTTTTTTTTTTATTTGACTTACCTTGAGACTAGCTCTCAGACAAGCATCCTCATGATAGACTTTGGGCACCAGGTTTTCCTTACAGCGTACATAGCCCAACCAAAAATCTAGCAGCCTCAAGCTGTTTCAAATAAAAAACAGCAACATATTTCACACACAAATCTGATACATCCTCATATCATTAGGACATGCTTCAAATGAAAAACAGCAACATATTTTACACATAAATCTGAGACATCATCATATCATGAGCACATTTAAAATAAAAAAACAGCAACATATTTCACACACAAATCTGATACATCATCATATGGTTAGCACATGTTTCAAATAAAAAACAGCAACATATTTCACATACAAATCTGATACATCATCATCTTATGGGGGAATGTTTCATATTTATTTCAAGATACTGTTATCTCATCATCAACTGGCAAGTCCTTTGTAGAACATTGCTCTCTTCAGTATCCGTTTCTCTAGCCAGCTCTCCAGCCGCATGTGCTTTTATTTCCAATGTATCTTCAATGTCCTGTATCCATCTTCACAGAGGTCGACCCCTGCCTTGGCTTCCACAAACTGCACCCTTCAACACCGTCTTTTCCAAGCCACCGTGGCGTTTGATGTGGCCAAAATACTTCATCTTTCAGGACAGGATGCTGTTTATGAGCCAGTTCTCCTGGATGTTGAACTCTAGTAGAATGTCGATGTTTCTCTTCCTGATCTATGGTATTCTGAGAATTTTTCTGTAACATTTTAATTCAAAAGCTCCAATCTTATTTTTTTCAGTGATTAAGTGAGAGTACAGGACTTGCAACCGTAAGTTGCCACAAGAAAAATATATGATCTCAAGATGTTTACTTATACTAATTTACAGGTGCTTTGCCATAGGTTCTTCACGTTATTTATTCTCTGCATTGCCAATGCAACTCATCTTCTGACTTCTTTTGAGCAGTCGCCACTGTTGTTCACTAAAGAGCCCAGGTATTCGAAATCTGTTACATTTTCTATTTCTTTATTTTCCATTGTGATATGTAATTGGTGTGCTGTATTTACTAAGGACATAATTTTTTTCTTTTCAAATTCAAAAAAAGATTCACTATACTGTTATCTACAACCACATGATCACCAGAATCACTAATCAGGTCAGTGTTCTTGTCTCACCCTATCCATAGGGCTTAGCCACCCAGGATTTATCTCTTTATATAGTGTTATCTACAAATAGATAAATTCTGGGTGGCTTAGCCCTATGAATAGGGTGAGACAAGAACACTGACCTGATCAATGATTCTGGTGATCGTGTGTGATGGTGAAACATGACAAGGTATGTTTATCGACAGGGCACATGTGAAGGTGATTCTTCCCGTAGGGGTTCTGGGGCCCATTTGGGTAAGGAAAGGGGGGGGGTCAGACCCACTGCACACCCCCACCCCCTTAAAAGCATGTTGTAAAAAGTGACTAATTCCTCTGTTTCCTCTAAGGTTGAAGAGGTGATGAACCAACAGCCTGCAAATAAATAAGCCAGATCTGTAAAATGAATGCACACACAAAACTAAAGTTCTCTAACAAGACCAAAGTCCAGGACTGGACAAACAACCAGAACTTTCTGCCAGAATTTACAGCCGAAGAACGCCAAGATGAAGAAGAAGAAGAAAGAATCCTTTGAGGCTGTAGAATGGTTATCTAGAACAGTATTTGTCACAAGAAGGACACACTTGAGAATATAACAATCAAAGGCTACAGACACTATGCTGGTAAAAATCAGAAGGACCCATTAGACAATATGTTGACATACAGCTTTCAATTTTTATGTCGTCTATTGTGTCATTCTGCCTATCTAATTCTTTTACTGGCAATACGTCAATGTGGCTGCTTTGGTATATACCTGTGGTTTTGTTTATTTTTGTGCTGATGAAGACTCTGTAGCCGTAACGTTCACGTTTTGTTTGTATTTGTTATATTGTGAAGCTCGCTGATCTACTTTTCGTTTGATTTTTTTTATCTTTCCATGATATTTCTTTCTATAAGTGTCGATCAAATACATTGTGTGGCTGTTTATTACACACATAATGTTTCTACAGACTCAAAAGTTCCCCCTCTGTTTATTTACGTACTTTGGCATATGTTCTTCACATATCATGCATCCACCACTAATTCTCTATTGTGATTTTAGATCTTTCTTTTTTTTTTTGGCTGCCATGTGGGTTCCGGAGAAAGGCCTTTATACTTATACAGGTAACAGGTTTCTCAATATGTGTCCTATACAGCTCCTTTTCTTGAACTATGTTTGTAGATACAATCATGTGTAATGTAAATTACGCAAACAAACAGGAAACCGTACTTGAGCAAGCCTGCCACAAACGCATAGAACCTGTGTCTGTTAGATGCCAGGTTGGGCTTTAGTCTCAGGCTCTTGGCCAGGTCATGTAGAGGTCTTGTGTAGGGACCTGGAAAACAGAGACACAAATCTGAGTACTTATGAAATTAATTAACAAGTGTTTGGAGGGAGAAAAGGAGAGAGATAGTGAGAGTGACAGAGTGAGAGTGAGAGGGAGTATGTGTGTGCGCTTGCACTTGTGTGAGGGAAACAGACAGACAGACAGACAGACAGACAGACAGACAGACAGACAGACAGACAGACAGACAGACAGACAGACAGACAGACAGACAGACAGACAGACAGACAGACAGACAGACAGACAGACAGACAGACAGACAGACAGACAGACAGACAGACAGACAGACAGACAGACAGACAGACAGACAGACAGACAGACAGACAGACAGACAGACAGACAGACAGACAGAGACAGACAGACAGACAGACAGAGAGCATATGTTTTTGTGTTGGTGTGCATTCACATTTGTGTGCAGTGTGCAAATGTGCATGAAAATATATATTTCTTCTTCTGTGTTCAGTGGCTACAAGCTCTGGTGGAAAGTCCTGCTTGTTGGTTCATCTACCTGGACTCTGGCTGAGTTTTGCGTGTACTGGCATACATGTTTGCAGTTAGTTGTTCCTCGCAGATGCACTCCGACTTCATAGAAAGCTCCTAATTAGTCAACTCTTACGACATGCTTGTTGGGGAGGCAGTGGGTCTATTCTTGTTTTTTCCACAATGGAGCCGCGGAACCCACACAGGGATGTAAATATGTGTTGCTCTATACTTCTGTATGCATATGTGTTGTTCTATACTTCTGTATGCATATGTTGTTCTATACTTCTGTATACATATGTGTTGTTCTATACTTCTGAGTGCATTTGTGTTGTTCTATACTTCTGTATGCATATGTGTTGCTCTATACTTCTGTATGCATATGTGTTGCTCTATACTTCTGTATGCATATGTGTTGTTCTATACTTCTGTATGCATATGTGTTGTTCTATTATTCTGTATGCTTATGTGTTGTTCTATACTTCTGTATGCATATGTGTTGCTCTATACTTCTGTATGCATTTGTGTTGTTCTATACTTTTGTATGCATATGTGTTGTTCTATACTTTTGTATGCATATGTGTTGTTCTATACTTCTGTATGCATATGTGTTGTTCTATACTTCTGTATGCATATGTGTTGTTCTATACTTCTGTATGCATATGTGTTGTTCTATACTTCTGTATGCATATGTGTTGTTCTATACTTCTGTATGCATATGTGTTGTTCTATACTTCTGTATGCATATGTGTTGTTCTATACTTCTGTATGCATATGTGTTGTTCTATACTTCTGTATGCTTATGTGTCGTTCTATACTTCTGTATGCTTATGTGTTGTTCTATACTTCTGTATGCATATGTGTTGCTCTATACTTCTGTATGCATATGTGTTGCTCTATACTTCTGTATGCATATGTGTTGCTCTATACTTCTGTATGCATATGTGTTGTTCTATACTTCTGTATGCATATGTGTTGTTCTATACTTCTGTATACATATGTGTCGTTCTATACTTCTGTATGCATATGTGTTGCTCTTTACTTCTGTATGCATATGTGTTGTTCTATACTTCTGCATGCATATGTGTTTTTCTATACTTCTGTATGCATATGTGTTGTTCTATACTTCTGTATGCATATGTGTTGTTCTATACTTCTGTATGCATATGTGTTGTTCTATATTTCTGTATGCATATGTGTTGTTCTATACTTCTGTATGCATATGTGTTGTTCTATACTTCTGTATGCCTTTGTGATGTTCTATACTTCTGTATGCATATGTGTTGTTCTATACTTCTGTATGCATATGTGTTGTTCTATACTTCTGTATGCATATGTGTTGTTCTATACTTATGTATGCATATGTGTTGCTCTATACTTCTGTATGCATATGTGTTGTTCTATACTTCTGTATGCATATGTGTTGTTCTATACTTCTGTATGCATATGTGTTGTTTTATACTTCTGTATGCATATGTGTTGTTCTATACTTCTGTATGCATATGTTGTTCTATACTTCTGTATGCATATGTGTTGTTCTATACTTCTGTATGCATATGTGTTGTTCTATACTTCTGTATGCATATGTGTTGCTCTTTACTTCTGTATGCATATGTGTTGTTCTATACTTCTGTATGCATATGTGTTGTTTTATACTTCTGTATGCATATGTGTTGTTCTATACTTCTGTATGCATATGTTGTTCTATACTTCTGTATGCATATGTGTTGTTCTATACTTCTGTATGCATATGTGTTGTTCTATACTTCTGTATGCATATGTGTTGCTCTTTACTTCTGTATGCATATGTTGTTCTATACTTCTGTATGCATATGTGTTGTTCTATACTTCTGTATGCATATGTGTTGTTCTATACTTCTGTATGCATATGTGTTGTTCTATACTTCTGTATGCATATGTGTTGCTCTATACTTCTGTATGCATATGTGTTGTTCTATACTTCTGTATGCATATGTGTTGTTCTATACTTCTGTATGCATATGTGTTGTTCTATACTTCTGTATGCATATGTGTTGTTCTATACTTCTGTATGCATATGTGTTGTTCTATACTTCTGTATGCATATGTGTTGTTCTATACTTCTGTATGCATATGTGTTGTTCTATACTTCTGTATGTATATGTGTTGTTCTATACTTCTGTATGCATATGTGTTGTTCTATAATTCTGTATGCATATGTGTTGTTCTATAATTCTGTATGCATATGTGTTGTTCTATAATTCTGTATGCATATGTGTTGTTCTATACTTCTGTATGCATATGTGTTGTTCTATACTTCTGTATGCATATGTGTTGTTCTATACTTCTGTATGCATATGTGTTGTTCTATACTTCTGTATGCATATGTGTTGTTCTATACTTCTGTATGCATATGTGTTGTTCTATACTTCTGTATGCATATGTGTTGTTCTATACTTCTGTATGCATATGTGTTGTTCTATACTTCTGTATGCATATGTGTTGTTCTATACTTCTGTATGCATATGTGTTGTTCTATACTTCTGTATGCATATGTGTTGTTCTATACTTATGTATGCATATGTGTTGCTCTATACTTCTGTATGCATATGTGTTGCTCTATACTTCTGTATGCATATGTGTTGCTCTATACTTCTGTATGCATATGTGTTGCTCTATACTTCTGTATGCATATGTGTTGCTCTATACTTCTGTATACATATGTGTTGTTCTATACTTCTGTATGCATATGTGTTGTTCTATACTTCTGTATGCATATGTGTTGTTCTATACTTCTGTATGCATATGTGTTGTTCTATACTTCTGTATGCATATGTGTTGCTCTATACTTCTGTATGCATATGTGTTGTTCTATACTTCTGTATGCTTATGTGTTGTTCTATACTTCTGTATGCATATGTGTTGTTCTATACTTCTGTATGCATATGTGTTGTTCTATACTTCTGTATGCATATGTGTTGTTCTATACTTCTGTATGCATATGTGTTGCTCTATACTTCTGTATGCATATGTGTTGTTCTATACTTCTGTATGCATATGTGTTGTTCTATACTTCTGTATGCTTATGTGTTGTTCTATACTTCTGTATGCATATGTGTTGTTCTATACTTCTGTATGCTTATGTGTTGTTCTATACTTCTGTATGCATATGTGTTGTTCTATACTTCTGTATGCATATGTGTTGTTCTATACTTCTGTATGCATATGTGTTGCTCTATACTTCTGTATGCATATGTGTTGCTCTATACTTCTGTATGCATATGTGTTGTTCTATACTTCTGTATGCATATGTGTTGTTCTATAATTCTGTATGCATATGTGTTGTTCTATAATTCTGTATGCATATGTGTTGTTCTATACTTCTGTATGCTTATGTGTTGTTCTATACTTCTGTATGCATATGTGTTGTTCTATACTTCTGTATGCTTTGTTCTATACTTCTGTATGCATATGTGTTGTTCTATACTTCTGTATGCATATGTGTTGTTCTATACTTCTGTATGCATATGTGTTGTTCTATACTTCTGTATGCATATGTGTTGTTCTATACTTATGTATGCATATGTGTTGCTCTATACTTCTGTATGCATATGTGTTGCTCTATACTTCTGTATGCATATGTGTTGCTCTATACTTCTGTATGCATATGCAAGAAAGTATTTGTGTACATGTCCACAAGCATTTTCTTTTTGCAATAAATCCTGTGTTTAACACTTTCGTCGTCTTCTTCTTCTTCTTTATCATCAACTTTTTGTTCTTCTTTTTTTTTCTGCATTAGACATCAGCAAAATGCTAAACATTCAGTCCTATCATGTTCACCACCAGTAACACCCCCACCCCCCTTTCCACCCTTTTCCACAGCTTGTCTTGCAATTTAGCACCACTGGGCCAGATCCCCAATGAGTGGGCTTGTAGGCACAGAGAGACTGATGGATAGGTGGGTGGATTGGTTGGTGAGTAGATAGGTGGACGGATGGATGGATGGTTGAGTGGGCTTGTAGGCACAGAGAGATTGATGGATAGGTGGATGGATGGGTTGGTGAGTAGATAGGTGGACGGATGGATGGATCAATAGATAGACAGAAGGATAGGTGGGTAGATGGATATGAGAGTTGGTAGTTGGGTGGATAGATATGAGAGTGGGTAGTTGGGTAAGTGGATAGGTGGATGGACGTGTGAGTGGATGGGTGGGGGATGGATAGGAGAGTGAATGGTTAGGTGAGTGGCTGGATAAATGGGTAACTTGGATGGATGGGTGGGAGGATTAATAGTTTGGTGAGGGGATGGAAAAGTGGACTGATGGATTTGGATGGACAGATGGGTTGCATAGGTTGCATGGATAGATGGAAGGAAGGATGGATGGATGGATGGATGGAATGATGGATGGATGGATGGATGGATGGATGGATGGATGGATGGATGGATGGATGGATGGACAGCTGCATTTACGTCAAGACCAACAATTATCACACACACAAGTCAATAGCTGTGGTTCTCTAACCTAATTCTGCAGTCATCTCAGCTACCCTCCAAGGTGTCAGCTTGACTTTGCCAAAGATGTGAACTCCAGCCTCAAAATCTCGCATGCCGTGAGCAACAACCCTCTCCACTGCAGGGCACAACTCACAGAAGACAAGGGCAGCAACCTCTGGCGAGTCCACAGAGCTTCCTAAACGCAGCTGAAATTAAAATAAAGCACCAATTATGTTATCATAATCGACATCACTGCACATCAGGCATTCCCATGCATGCTCAGTCCTCTGATGTAGCAGCCACTCCAATAAACTTGCTTCACCATGCTTTACTCCCAGGTCACGCAATCAATTATGCAATGATAACGTCCTGTTACAATTATTAAATTATAACACTGATAACTCTAAGAAAAGTACTGCTTAGATGGAGAAAGAGGTTATGAAACGTCAACAAAATTACTGTTATGTAATAATGAGAATTCCCAGGGAACCCCAGAGAGTTTCCCAATTGAGGGGACAAGGTCAGAAGGCCAGCAAAACAAGGGACACGTGGAAAAGGCATGTTTAGAATATCCCAAGTTCTATGAATGGTTGTAAGGGGAAAATGTGAGATTGGAACGAACATTTGAATGGAGAGACGATAAAGTCAGTTGTGTTTTGGGCTGTGTGAGAGGCAGGTTGCTTGATGGTGGGACTGAGATGAACGTCAGTTGTGAACTGAAGGAACTCAGTTTTTGAAAGCTAGGAATGTCTGAAGTAAATTGATTCTGAATGGCAAAGTCTACTGACTGAACATTTGTGTTACTGTGATCTTCTGATTCTGAATTGCAACGTCTAGTGACTATGCACCATGCAATGATAATTATACAGAAGAGCAGAAAGATGAATTCTTTGACGATCTGTCTGATGAGATAAAGAAAGTTGAGAGAAGCAGCATACTATATGTAATGGGTGACTTCAACGGGAGGGTAGGAAATAACAGTAGAGAATACGAACAGTTTTTAGGTCCATATGCAGCTAAGAACAGTGCTAGAAATGGAAATGGTCAAAGAATATTGGATCTATGCAGCCAGCACAATCTTTTTATTACAAACACATTCTTTGACCATAGAGATTCACAACTTTACACTTGGTACAAATGGAATGATGTCTCCATCAAGAGCCAGATTGACTTTATACTTACCAGAGTTCAAGGAAGAAGGAGAATTCTTGATTCAAGAGCAATCCCTAATGGTCTATGTGACACTGACCATAAAATAGTTGTGTTAACAGCAAAACATCTTACATTAAAGAAACACAGAAAGAAATTAAACAAAAACAAGGATCTCATCAAGATGGCAAATCTGAAACAGGAAGGAGTAAAAGAACAGTTACAACAGAAAGTAGAGACAGTATTCAAACAACTTCCACATATAGATGGCAATATTGAGGAAGAATGGAGTATATATAAAAACACTATGCTTAGTATTGCAGAAGAATTATGTGGAAAAACGGAAGAGTGGAAACAGACGGGGAAATAACAAAAATTCACCTAGGTGGTGCGAAGAAGTAAAAGAAGCAATTAAAAAGAAAAAAGACATATAAACAGTGGATAAAATCAAAGAAAGAAGAAGATTATATAAACTATAGACTGCAAAGGAGAGAAACCAACAGAAGTGTCAAGAAAGCAAAACAAGCATCCTGGGAACATTTCGGTGAGTCACTAGCAGAAAATGAGAAGACAGCTAGCAGAAAATTTTTCAAAGTAGTTAAAAATATGCGGAAAAGAGATGAGAGCTACAACCCCACTGAAATAATTAATGATAAGACAGGAAGCCATTGATAGATCCACCCGAGATAGCAGAAAGATGGAGGGAATACTTCAATGAGCTCTTTAATCCTCTAGGAGATCATCAGGAAAGAACAACTGAAGAGCACAGAGCAACAGTGTTAGAACCACACATACTAATGGATGAAATAGAAAAAGTCATTAAACAGGCTCCCAAATATAAAGCGCTAGGAGCTGATAGATTACCAACAGAAATAATTCAAGCAGCAGGTGAAAACAGCATCAGATGGCTTCACAGAATATTCAATGCAGCATGGGTACAACAAACGGCCCCTATTGATTGGCAACATGCAATAGTTATACCATTGTGGAAGAACAAAGGAAGCAAACGAGAATGCGGTCAATATCGAGGCATCTCTCTTTTAAGCCATGTTGGCAAAATGTATGCCAAGATAATAGAAACAAGACTGAGACCAGTGATAGAACCACAGCTGGCAGAAGAACAGATGGGATTTAGGAGAAATAGAAGCTGCACAGACGCAATCTTCACACTTAAACAGTTAATACAAAAGAACATTGAATACAATAAGAACTTATTTGTGGCATTCGTAGACCAGGAGAAGGCATTTGACAGAGTCGACAGACAATTATTATGGAAAATAATGGCAAGATATGGAGTAAGCGAACACCTCATCGAAGTGTGCAAAGGTTTATACAGGGATTGTAGAAGTGTAGTTAGAATAAATCAGGGAACATCTCATCCTTTCACAGTGACATCTGGAGTAAGACAGGGGTGTGTCTTATCACCACTGCTGTTTATCACCTACATCGACAGTATATGCAAGAATGCCAAGCCCATGAATGAAGATCTTAGTAAGATCAACGAATTACTCTTTGCAGATGACCAGGCCTTGATAGCAGATACAGACATGAAATTGCAACAACATCTAACATCCATGAATGAAGAATGTAAAACAAATAATATGAGAATCAACACTGAAAAGACAGAAGTAATGTCAATAGGAAAAAAGAAGACAGATCTAAACATTGCAATAGAATACAAAGGCATTAAACAGGCATCTGAGTTTAAATATCTGGGAACTACATTTACCGAAGATGGGAAATTGGATAAAGAAATTGACATTAGATGCAGTAAAGCAAACCAAGTATTGGGACAGCTAGCCCCCCTCTTACAGCATAAGACAATCCCAATCAGCACAAAGAGACATCTTATTCAAAGCATATTTATTCCAACTCTGTGCTACCAGTGCCAGACATGGTCACTCACAACAAACCATAAAAGAAAATTAGTAACCACGGAAATGAGATGTCTGAGAAGGGCTGTAGGAGTGACCATAAGAGATAAGATCAGGAATGAGATCATAAGAGAACAAGTCGGCACAGAACCAATTCTGGATTACATACAAAGACAGCAAGTGAAATGGTTTGTCCACTTAGAGAGAATGCCTTGTGACACCATACCATACAAAGCATACATGGAAAGAGAAGAAGGACGGGGTAGAAGAAGCACGGGGTAGACCAAGAACAAGATGGAAGGATAACATCAGAGAAACTCTACAACAGCACGATATGCCTTTGGTCGAGGCAGCCAGAAGAGCTAGAAACAGAACCTTATATCTCCCTTGACACCCACAGCGGTAAAAGAGGAAGTGAAGAAGAAGAAGAAGAAGAAGAAGTGACTAAACATTTGAGTTACTGTGATCTACTGATTCTGAATGGCAAAGTCTAGTGACTGAACATTTGTGTTACTGTGATCTATTGATTCTGAATGGCAACATCTAGTGACTAAACATTTGAGTTACTGTGATCTACTGATTCTGAATGGCAAAGTCTAGTGACTGAACATTTGTGTTACTGTGATCTATTGATTCTGAATGGCAACGTCTAGTGACTGAACATTTGTGTTACTGTGATCTACTGATTCTGAATGGTTATGTCCCGTGTGGCCTGGAAACCTACATTAGGAAATTATGACACAATACAATACAAGTCATCAGTGGAAATAATAACTTACACAATATAACACAAGTCATCAGGGGAAATAATAACTTACACAATATAACACAAGTCATCAGGGGAAATAATAACTTACACAATATAACACAAGATTTTAGCCAGATGACATAATCATGGTCACAACACAGACATGATCCAAAACAAGTGATCATGTAAGATATCAAGAAACCTTTCTTCCCGTGTGGGTTCCGGTGCCCCACTGTGGGGAATAGACACAATGCCTCCCTAACAAGCATGTCATATGCTGACCAATAAAAGGTATCCTTCGAAGTCAGAGTGCGTCTGCCTGAGAGGCAAGGAACCAAAAGTATGCTTACAAATAAGCCAGATCTGTTAAATGGATGCACACACAAAACTCACATTCTGGAACGAGACTAAACTTTTGGAATGACGAATGGAGAGGAAATATAATGATGATGATTATTATATGGTTATCAGCATTGGCACATGATGATAATTATTATATGGTTATCAGCACTGGCACATGATGATAATTATTATATGGTTATCAGCATTGGCACATTATAAAAATGATGATTTTTTTAAACAAAAAAACTTTGCAAGACAAATGCTGAACTTCTAAACATTTCCAAGTTTTCTACAACAATAAACAATATAATGCACTTTGTCAGCAGCACTATAGTAACAACCCACCTTTTCAAACGGATCTTTCGCTTGAGCAAAATGTTGCAGCAACGAGTCTGCTGCTTGAGCGATGCCCTTGAGTAGCACTGTAACAATAACTACACATTGTAACAGAAATTCAAAACTTGACACCTCTTAAATAGGAGCCACCTTGGCATACCGGCTATATAGTAGGCTCGGTCCCAAAGGTTATGGATTCAAATCCACATCAAACTACACTTTAAACAATTTTTTTTTTTAAACAAAACTGATTTCTGCTTTCACGTGGACCCAGCCTAAAATGGAAAGCAGGTAACGTCTAGGAAAGCAAATAATTATTTTATTTTAACAGGAGCTGGCACAGGCAGTCATGCATCTCCACAGATCTCTGTCTGTGGTGTTCTGGACAATTCCACTGATGAGATTCCTCTATGCATGCACTGTCTTAAGCCATCACCCTATCATTTCTCTTGGTCTGCCTCTGCCTCCTATACTAGTGATCTTTCTGGTCATCATGATAATTGTTGCATAAAATGGATATCAAATAATTCGGAAGGTAAGGCAGCTGGCATGATATCAATTACATCACCTACTGAGTGCTGATTGGTCTCTAAAAATATGATACTAGCGTCATCTTAATGCAGATTTTGAGCCAGCAGGCCAGCAGGTAAGTAAGTAGCCACTACTTTATTGCAGCTCCCAAGCACTGTGCATCAGGAAAAGATACGAAAACAAACCCCAAAAAAGCAGAACCTGTCAGCTTGACATTATCGAAAAACAAACGACAAGTGAGCATTCTGGCTACAGATTCTTCATCAGCACAATAGATGAATGTACAATACCAACACAAACAATCATGAATACACAAAATGGTATTTAACAAAATCTACAATACTGATGAGTTCAATGTTCAAGACCTGTTGCTACCCTGCACATTTGAGTGTGTGCATTAATGTGTCTGACCAGAAAGAAATGCGATTTCTATTGGAAATACTTCAGTTGAGTGATTTTGTGCATTCCTGTTCATATTTGTGGTACTATCGATTAATGTCATGTGCCGACAAAGGCTCTGGCCACACTGTTCACTTTCCATTTGTGATATTTTGAAGCTGACTGGTTCCACTTGTTCTTTGGTTTCATAATTTTCATGACATATGTATAAATGACAGACGAGTGTATGAATCTGTCAGTACGTTTGAGTGTATTTATGTGTACATATGTATGTGTCTATATGTATGTTGTATTTTGTATGTGTGTAAGAGAATTTATATGTATGAGTATTTGCAAGCATGTGTATCTGAATTATCCATCCATGCCATTCTGTTGTTTATTCCTATATTGATTTATTTTGCTATAATAAGTTTTATAGATAAATTGTAATGGATGTTTGAAAGATTAGTGTTTGGGCGTGCCTACTGTAAGAAAAGCTTGTGTGCCCAATTGGTGACCCTTTAAAATATGTCATTTGTTATTTCTGCAATGACTTACATAGATTACTGTTCTCCATGAGTGATGTCGTGGGCTCCATACTACTCTCTGAAGCCGTGGAGACAAACTCCACCGGGCTCTTTGTCATGTCAGAATCAGGTGTGGACAAAGTGGCGGAGGTCAGAGATGATGATGCTGATGTAAATGATGATGACTGCGGTAGAGGAGATGACTCAACATCAGCCTTATCAATCACAGCTCCTCGCTGTGGGCATTTGGTGCTCCCTGCCTTTCCTGCTGGACGGGAGGAAAATATGCAAGAATGTGTCAAGACAGATCACCTCACGGCAGCTACTGCCCTTCGAATGTGAAATATTTAGCCTTCACATATCCTCCTAATAAATATACTTCCAATAGCAGATGAAGGGAAACAGAAATCAAAAAGAGCATAGAAATGGCTAAAACTATCTTAGATAAGATGTGAAAATTAATAACATCAAGAAAGATGAACAACACACTAAAAAGGTGATTCCTCAAATGTTATTATATTCAGCATTGCAGTATGATACTGAAACCTGGACAATGAACAAGCAGCAAGAAATTAGAACTGAGTCTCCGGAAGTGTGGAAATACAGAAGAATAGGTCATATTTCATGGCAACAAATGCAATCAAATACAGAGGTTTTGGAGAAACTGGGTATGAAAAGAGAGTTACTGAAAGACATAAAAAAGAGAGTTAAAACATTTTGACCACATTAAAAGACATAACACACTTTTAAAAACCACACTGGGGGAAAGGTTAAGGGCAAGACAGTATGGGGCTGAAAACAGTACAAGCTGGAGGACAACATCAAGAGATGGACACACAACAGTCTTAAAGAGTGTACAACCAAGATGAGAAACACAGCGTGCTGGAAATCCACTGCAGCCAACCTTCATTGTGGAGACGACTGATTGACATTCAAGCCAAGCTATAAGGGCAGCCAGTTCATTAACTGTTTTCATTTATCAAAGTAAAAAAAAAGGTAAAAGACCCTTTTCCATGCTTTTAGGCGTATAGGGCATATAGGGTTAGACCTATATTTTATAGACCAATCGGCACAAGGTGGGTGATGTGGTCAGCATCACGAAAGCCGCCTCTGCTTCCTGGGACTACACCCAGTACCCATTCTAGGCTGGGTCAACCTGGGAGACAAGGTCATTTTTTGAAACAAGTCCGGCTCTGCCACGGAGCGAACCCACGACCTTCCGATCCACGGCGAGCACATAGCCGCTCCACCGCGGCGATTCCCTTTCATTTATCAAACCACAGGAAAATTCTGAAAACTACCTAGTGCCCATTTCAGGATGTTTGTAAGCATCTGTGCCTTAGGCATTGCGAACCCGCTTCGTAATGCCGGGGTGTCGTGTTCGATCCTAGCTGCGGGTCTTGCGCCTTGTGTTGGTTTCGACAGTGGTATCGAGAAGCTGACCATCCAGAAAGCAATGGCAAACTATTCATAAACTTGCCTAGAAAAACCACAACAGCTAAAAAAATGCTGGGGTTGGTTCTGCAACATCTTGTAAAGGATACGCAACTAACTTATATCTATTGATTTGTTCACATCCTTGACCTATAAGTTATCAGATATTCTAATTGAACTCAATAACTATAATGTTGTCCATTCATGGTCAGAAAGTATTTCTTCTTCTTCTTTGCGTTCAGTTTTGTATGCTCAGATCAGACCATCAGGTGGGTTGCCTCTATGAACTCGCATGTCAGCAGCAGGTCCTTCATTGTTCCCCATAGCTTGCTCTGCACACTTTACTCTTGAGGTCAGGTGTCTTTTCAAAGTTGTATGTGGAGTGGGCAGGTCTGCAGAATGTTTGTGGTCTTGTTTGACAGGCACACTGTGGGGACTGTGAGTAGATGGAAAATTGTTGCATGTTGCTTTCTGTTGAGTTTGCTGATGCAGTCTTGTGGATGTTTACCATTAGTATGTTCTCTCCACAATTCCTTGTATTTTCCCTTGATAAGTGTTCTGATTTCTAGTAACTACAATGGATGGGTGTGTTGTTTCTCCTTTGTTCCATTTTTAACAAGTCTGTCTACCAACTAATTTCTTGGGGAGCCGCAGTGAGTCGGGATCCACTGGAGAATGATCTGATAGTTTTCTACCATTCTGTTTAGAAAGTATTTAATACTCAACCCTTTGGCCATGTAGTTGCTCTAATCCTGGATCACTGTCTCTTACATCATTATAAATGCTGCCAATACAGCATATCTGCACTGACTTATCCCCAAGAAGCCTTCTTCAGCGCTGCTCTTTTTATTTGCACCTGTGCAGTGTTAGGTCCGATATGATTATATGAACAGCAGCATTTAGGAAAGTTTTACTGTAAAGAAATTACTTTTTTTTTTTTTAAAGCCATTATGACTTTGTATGACTCAAACTATATATTCTGTCTAGACCCAAGGGAATATAATCCAATTAATTCTCTGATCCATTCGTATTTATTATTCTCCCTCACATATTTTAAAAAAAACGGTATGTAAATTAGTTGAGGTTTTTTTTTTTTTTTTGGTAAACGTACAAGTTACCCCCCCCCCCCCTTTTTTTTTTTTTTTTAAATCCCCAGGTACTATGCCTTTCTCCAAAGGGTTTTGGGGCAACAGAATTAGAAAGCAGAGCAAATGCCAGAAGTAACAGCTAATGCTGGTACATTAACCTTCTGTTGGTACATTCTCCTTCAGCTGGTAAATTTACCTTCTGTTGGTACATTCACCTTCTGTTGGTACATTCTCCTTCTGTTGGTACATTCACCTTCTGTTGGTACATTCACCTTCTGTTGGTACATTCACCTTCTGTTGGTACATTCTTCTTCTGTTGGTACATTCTCCTTCTGTTGGTACATTCACCTTCTGTTGGTACATTCTCCTTATGTTGGTACATTCACCTTCTGTTGGTACATTCACCTTCTGTTGGTACATTCACCTTCTGTTGGTACATTCACCTTCTGTTGGTACATTCACCTTCTGTTGGTACATTCTCCTTCTGTTGATACATTCACCTTCTGTTGGTTCATTCAACTTTGGACATCTTCAATTATGATGATGCATTCAACTTGGACTGGTGAACTCTACTACTGGTACAAATATACTAATAGCTGGATTCAACATCCTTTTCAACTCCTGCTAGCGCAATGAGATTATACTGATGCAATCAACTTCCAGTTGTGGATCTGTTCTTCTTCTTTTTCTTCTGCGTTCATCCGAAGATGTGGATGCAGTCTGCCCATCTACAACATGGCTGCAATATGCGCCTTTCCGCTGACATCTCTGACATTCACAGGTATTTGTTGTCCTGGGCAGCCTTCCCGGCTCTCTTGGATTTGATTAGTCACAAACTCTACTTTTATAGCAATCAAGTTCTGCTGCAATTCAAATGTTACTTCTTCTTCTGTATTAACCATTAAAATAGGCAGTTGGCATGATGTGATGTGGTTTACAGCTAGGCTGTGCTATTTGTGCCTTTCAGCCCAATACATCCTACTGAAACAAATCTTTCCTGTTACGACATGTTTGTTAAGGGCTAGTGGATCAATTCTTTTCTTCCCTTCCAACCAAGGTGCCAGAATTCACAGAGGGAAAATGTTACAGACACCCTTCAGGTTTATCAATGCACTCGACTTTCAACTTCTGCAGATGCATTTAGATTCTACTGGTTCATTCAATCACATTTTTGTCTGCATTCCACTGCTACTCTGTGATCCGCTGGGACTAAATGCTCATCAGGGGACCGAAAGGTTGTTGTATGTTCACATCCGGACTTGTTTTAACCCAGCCAAAACTAGGTAGCAGGTAAAGTCCTGAGAAGTAAAGGGAGCTGGCCTGATATTGACCATATCACCCACTGAGTGCCAATTGGTCTCTAAAATACTGGTCGAGCACTCAATGACTAATACTCCTAAGGTACCTTTTGCTTTTTAATCCCCTCCCTTTTACAATTCAGATAACTTACCCCCTTTTCCTTCCTCAACTAGATGCAGAGTCAGAATATCACCACCCAGCTCTATGGCCTCTACTTCCATCTTCTGGCTAGCAGCCTCGTCTGGCTTTTTAGGTGAACAATATGGAGATGGGTGAGGCGAGTGGAAGGACACCTCAGAGGCAAAGCTGACGCGTTTTGATCGGGCAGATTCATCTGAGGTTGTAGAGGACACGGATGATGTTGCTGATCCATGTGCCGTTGAAGATGATGAAGATGGTGATGGTGTTGAATGTCTTCCTTTGTGCTTCAGCTTTCTTCTCCGGACTACTTCTAGAATGAAAGATTCAAGTTACAACTTACAAACCTCTCCATATTATTATTATGTATCATATGTACAAACTGCACTAAAAACAACGGTTTAAGACTATGTTCTTGAGATGTGGTCCACAGACTGGTGCCCATCCGCAGAAATTTCCTAGCAGGCCCTTAAAAAAATGTCTTCATAATCATTTACCGCAGCCACAGTGAAAACCAAATGATGAAAATGAAGGGACATTATTGCAGTGTTTCGTCTCTCAGAAACAACGCTCCAGCCAGATAAATGAACAGCTGTCTCAGCTTAAAACTGGAAATTTTAGTTAGATTCACATCTAGTTAGAATCAACCTCACAATTTTTCGGCTGTTTGGTTTACAAGGCAATTTTAAGTTCAATTGTTTGTCAGTGCTTTCTGAGCAGTCAGACCTTTTACTGTGACAAGTTGTATCTCCTCCGCCTCGGTGTATACAACCTGTAACCTCCAGCACAAAGTTATGTTTGTTTTTTTTTTGGTCCATTTATGGACTTTGATCTTGTTCCGGAACTTAAGTAAGTAAAGTATCCTCTTCCACGCCTTTAGGCATATAGGGCTAGACCAGAATTTTTAGACCAATCAGCAAAAGATGGGTGATGTGGTCAGCCCCACGCCAGCCGCCTTTACTTCACGGGACTGAACCAAGGCTGGGTTAACCTGGGAGCCAGGGTAATTTTTTTTTTTTTTAACGGCTCTGCCATGGAGCAAATCCAGGACCTTCTGATCCAAGCGTCTAGCCGCTCCACCACGGCGACTTCCTCCGGAACTTAAATTATGCATGCATTTCCATTTCACACATCTGGCTTATTTAAACACAGACTGTTGGTTCCTCAACACAGACAGATACATTCTGACTTGGAAGGAACCACCCCTAATTAGTAGCCCTTTACAACATGCATGTGAGTGGAGCAGTAGGTCTAATCTTTTTACTTCAACAAATGGGGCTGAGGATCCTACTTGGGGAAGATGTACAACTCCTGGCTCTGCACAATAATCAACAACAGTGCACCAGATTTGATCCTTTATGGCCTGGACTCTCTCCGCAAAGCATCTAGGTGTCCGTGTATTTACTTCATTGACTGAATTTTCTTTGAGCAGACCTTTGAACGTTTCTTGTATTTCTTAGCCTGTACTCCGCTACCCACTCGACCAGTCTCGGGGTACAATCTCAAATACACGCACATACACAAATATACACATTGACTTGTGTAATAAGCTACTATTATACTTGTTATATTATTTAACTTGTGAGCTGCTAAGACATTGATTGTTAACTGTCATTTACTCTCTTGCACGTTAATATTTTTTGTGCGTTTTTTCCCCATTACTTTTTGTTCTGCTTTTAATTGTTATTATCTCGCATAGTGCTTTTATTTTGCACTGCTCGTTTGCACTTTACGCTTTCTGGAAATGTCTAGCCAACTTGAAAATTGGCTCAGTAGAGCTGGTCTTAGATTAGGTCATCTTAATATATGTCATCTAATGGGCAAACTGCCCGAATTATCCCTCATCCTTAGTCAACATTTTCAGATATTCGGTCTTACTGAAAGTCGATTAAATGATTACATCTCAGATGATGATGTGTCGATAAATGGTTATAGTGTTATTAGAAGAGATCCACATAAGAAACAAGAGACAGGTATAGCGGTCTACTTATGTAGTTCACTTAATGTATTCCTCAGGCTAGACTTAGAAAGTAGTGAGATAGAATGTGTTTGGCTTGAGTTAAAACTACAAAATCACCAACCACTACTAGTTGGTTATCTTTATCGCAACACCAGCGCTGGAAACATTTGGTATGAAAATTTCACTGCCATGATGGATGCAGTCATTACTATTGATAAAGAAATCATACTTCTTGGTGACTTCAATATCAATACTCAAAAGTCTAACAATACATGGGAGAATATAGTTACTTCATACAATCTCCAACAACTAGTTAAACAACCTACTAGAGTAACTAAATCATCTTCAACACTTATAGATCACATTTATACAACACGTCCTGAAAATATAGTAGAATGCAAGGTTCCCACTACTGCAACGTCCGATCATTTTCCTGTCTGTTGTACGTGGTCGAAAAAGGGAACTAAAATTCCAAAACACAAACATTTAAGCATAAAATTTAGAAGCTATAAAAATTTCAGTCAAGAGGCATTTTTACTAGATTTGCTAAGTTCACCTCTTGACCATGTTTTATCAACTTCCTGATCCGGATGATGCTCTGGAATATTGGCTAAAGACTTTCCTTGGGGTTTTTGATAAACATGTGCCAGTTAAGGAGGTCCGTGTGAAACATCAGACTAAATCACCATGGATCACACAGGAAGTAGTCGACATTATGAGAGAACGAGATAGGGCACACAAAGATAAGAACTTTGTCACATATCGGAGTTTGCGTAACAAAGTACAGTATGTTATTCGAAAGGAAAAAAAGAACTATTTCAGAAACTTAGTATCAGATAAAAGAAACAGTAAGGATATATGGAAGGCAATCAACACACTGACAAACAAAAACACTTCAACACGTGTGGTAACATCTAATATAACATCTGATGATTTCAGCAATTACTTTCAGGAAGACATAGAGCAGATAAAGGCTACAATACCGAGCTATCCATGTAATTTATCCATGCTGTCAACATTTTGTGAGAATAAATGCTCCAAAGGTTTTCCCACTGACATGCCTTTGATGTCAGTCAATGACGTTTTTAAATATCTCGCTAATCTCAAAAACAGTAATGCATCAGGTCTAGATGGAGTGAGCAATAGGATCCTTCGTTGTACTGCATCAATTATCTGCACGTCATTAACCTACATTTACAACCAGTGCATCGCCAAAGGTTACTTTCCTCCAGTCTTTAAAATTGCCAAAGTCTATCCTCATCTAAAATCGAAATCATTAGACAGTAGTATTCCCAGTAGCTATAGACCTATCTCTTTACTATCATCCCTATCAAAACCACTAGAAAAACACATTCACAAAATAATACTCCAACATTTAGATAAAAACGAACTTATTGTTGACAACCAGTCAGGGTTTCGACCAAAATATTCTTGTCATACTGCCTTAACAAATATGATAGAAAACTGGCATCAGAATATTAACGAAGATAAGATATGTGGTGCAGTGTTTATAGACTTCAAAAAGGCCTTTGACATGATAGACCACACTATTCTTATCCGAAAGCTGGTAACAATGAAAGTGAGTTCCAACCTATTAACAATGCTAACATCTTTTTTATTAAACAGAAAACAAGTTGTTTCACATAATAAATCTATATCACAGACTACTACTTTAAATTCTGGAGTTCCTCAGGGTTCTATTCTTGGCCCCCTTCTATTTGCAATTTACATAAATGATCTGCCCTTAAGTCTGTCGTCGTCGTGCGATTTATTCGCAGATGACTGTACCATCCATTCAAACGCTCGAACTTGTAATATACTAGAGTTGTCTTTGCAACAAGAATTAAACAATGTAGTTAGTTGGAGCTACGCAAACCGAATGCAAATCAACATAAGTAAGACAAAATCTATGTTAATAACAACAAGACAAAAACTGTGCACTTTAAACTCTCATAGAACCCTTCAACTCTACCTAGGTAACACACCAGTAGAAAGTGTAACTGAGCACAAAACTTTAGGTCTGATCATCGATGGAAATCTTACCTTCAACTCCCATGTGCAAACACTTGTTAAGCAAACTGCTACAAAGGTATACCAACTAGCAAAAATTAAAAACTTTCTGGATGAAAACTCTAGGAAATTATTCTATACTTCTCATATTCAGACCCACATAGACTATTGCTCCACAATATGGGATGGATGTGCAAATTCAGTCATCAAACGGCTGAAAGCACTACACAGAAGGGCTGTTCGTTTAATAGCTAACAGTCATGAAAGTGACTGTTCGCACCTATATAAAGAACTCATGCTATTACCGCTCCAGGAACGCCTACTATTCAATAAAGCTAAACTTATTAAGAAAATCATATCTAAAAATGCTCCATGTTACCTTTGGCCATTATTTAAATACAATGGAAGACATAGCAAACACCTTAACATATTGCATATCTCTAAACCTAGAATAGACCTATATAAAACAAGCTTAGCGTACTCTGCAGCTCAGCTGTGGAATAATCTTCCACCGGAAATAAAAAATATCAATAACCCCTTTAGATACAATCGGAAACTATTTGATTATTATCTCACTACAGACTATATGCCACCCTAAAAAGATTATAGTATGTTAAGGCTTTGATGTATTTCTTATTAACGGGGGGTTTTTTTTTGGGGGGGGGGGGGGTGTGTCAGGGAACTTGGTGGGGGTTGAAAATTGAAGCTTATTATTGTTTAAAACTGAAGATGTCAGTCGAATGCATTCCAATATTTGTAACTAATATTTAATTGGTTTTGATGATGTTTATATTATGCAACCTGTAAGACTTACATCATTTTTTTAATAGGCTTATTATTATACTCTTTAAAACGTTCAAGTAATGTCAGTATAAATTAGAGCACATTCCAGCATTTGTAATTAAGACTTAGATGTTGTAATTTTTTATTTTTTCTTCTTCTCTTTTTTTTTTTTTTTTGGTTTCTTTTCCATATTACTCAAATTTTTAATTGTGCATTCCTCTTATTATTATTATTATTAATTATTATTAATATTATTAACTATGAAATGAGGTAAAAATGAAACATTGTATGAAAGGAGCGGAGTGGAAGGGCAGAATGTTAGACGGGCCTGCGTGCCCAATTCTTAACCCTTTGAAAATAAAGTTTGTTTGTTCGTTCGTTCGTTCGTTCCAAAAGTGGCGCAAATAACATGAATGTAGCTCTAGCAACAATCCCCAGGAATCTCTACAAAATTGGGAATCTGTACAACGAACCCATGACCCTCACAAGGTGAGAACAGTGACTTAATCGTTTAGCCATGCAGATCCCCAAAGAGGCTCACACTTCTTGGTCATGCAGACTCCAAAAGAAGGTCACACAATCCTGGTCATGCAAACAAGAGAGAAGAGGCTCACACAATCCTGGTCATGCAAACCCCCTCCCTAAGAGGCTCACACAATACTGGTCACGCAGACCCCCAAAATAGGTCACAGAGTCTTGCCATACAACCCCTGAAGAGACACAGTCCTGGTCATGCAGATTCCCAAATAGGCTCAAAGAGTCCTGGTCACAGAGTCTTACCATACAGACCCCCGAAGAGACACAGTCCAGCCATAGAGACACCTGAAGACTAGAAAAGTCCTGCCATACAAACCCTAGTCTTGGTTAAGCAACAAAAAGATAGCCCTGACTTACCGGTCTTTTCCATGGTTCTGTCAGCAGGTGGGAACCCATCTTCAGCCACCAACACTGGCATAGTGCCGTCACATGCGATGGAGTAACGATTTGTGAGACCAGCTCTTCGTGGAGGCTTCACAGGTGCTTGAGTCTCTAGAGTACCCCTAAAAAGTGATATTAATTTTTCATAATGACATTGCTGAGAAGTGTAATGTGGTGTATGTGAATCTACCAATAATAATGTGTTTGTAATGTGTGGACAGAATTAGAATAAGTCCATGTGTACGACATCAACTTACATTTCAACATGTCAAAACACGAACAATGTGAATGCACAGCTGGTGCTAATGTCAATGTTTACTGATTCACACAATGGCCTCCAAGCCAGTGCACCCTGCGGTGACAGTCCAGGGATCGCAAAATATACAGTTCAAGGAATAATTACCTTTCTACAGAATGAACGCAAGAATAATCTGACAGCGATAACCTGACATTCACAATCTTCCAAGCTGAATAAACAACAGCACGTCCAGTCTGGACCAGAATTGCCAAACAAACAATAGCCAGGTTTTGTCTAAGAACTCACAGCCAAATCTGGTTCAAACATCAGCTTGTAACTTGATTCATTCATCTGCACCACAGACACACCATTCCTTGAACCCAAAACGAGACTGGCTTTTCTCGCTTATTCTTCTAATTAAGTAATCTTTCATTCTCAATCATTCACTCACTTAAATTCAGGATTTATTCACTTTGGCTTGTGCCCAGCGATCTGCATGCTTGCATTACAATCAAACGTGTAACTATTTCGGCCTTCATCCAAACTGAGGTACATACTTTATGTTCAGTCTCTGACCTCATGATTAATGCAAACATTCTTTCTCAGGAGAAAATACTCATTACATCCAAATTGACACAATATTTACAGTATATAAACAAGAACCAGAATTAACCCAGTAAGTCACAAGCAACGCCACATGTGTCAACAGCTCTTTAATCTGAATCCAAAGAATTACATTTTGTGTTCTTTTACTGTTCACATTTGATCAGAGAATGCTACTGAAATCTGGCTTCCTGTCTGGTTACTTCTAGTCACTGTGCACTTTGCTTATTACAAGTTATACACTTGTGATTTGTTAAATCGACAATTATCTAATGTTTATAATGTATTGAGGAAAAGTAAACAAAGCCAGCCGGGACATGGATCATGTTGCATGAGCAGCACACACACAAGTCAGATCTGTAAACAGATGTGCATGCATAACTCAAGTTATGAAACAAGACTAAGTCTTTTTCAGCACTTCTGTAAAACTAAAAGACACTGTGTGGTGAGTACCAGAATTTTGTTTTAAGAATAAAAGACCTGGTCTAGAGTGTAAACAGAGTGTGTGTGTGTGTGTGTGTGTGTGTGTGTGTGCGCGTGCGTGCGGGTGCATTGGTCTGTGCATGCATGCTCATGTGCGTGCGTGCGCAAAGCAAAGAAGGTTATCAATGGAAAAAATATTCTTTTCAGGACCTTGTAGAACTAACTGTTGCATGTTTAGACTGTTGTGGTTTTTTCTAGGAAATTTTCAGTAGTCTGCCATTGTTTTTCTGAATGGTCATCTCTTTGTAAGACTGTGGAAACCAATGAAAGACGATCTGCTGCCAAATCGCCTGCAGATGCAATCGAACCTGGCACTCTGGTATTATGAAGCACATTTGCCACAGATGCCATCAAAAAACCTACCCAGAAACAGCTTTCCTCAAGCAAGACTTGAGTGGTTTCCTCTCTTGCAGCCATTTGTGGTACCTCATGATAAGCTCCTCATCGACTGTGGGTGCTGAGGTGTGGTCAGCCGCGTGGAGACAGTGGTGGTCGTGGTGACTGCCGTGACAACATTCTGCTAGAAGGTCAACACAATCTGTGCAAATCATTCTTCATAAGGGGTCAAATGTTGTTATGAATCATGAAGAGGGGAACAATTAATTAAAAAATCTTCTTCTTCAACATTCTGAACCCTTGAGGTTCTTTGTTGCCAATATCCCCCACCCCCCTTCATATCTAGGATTGACCTTCTATTTTCAGTTGGTAACTCCTCTAACTGCAGGTCTGCCTGAATATTATCTCCCCACCATCTTCTTTATCTTCCTCACAGTCTATTTACATTTCAACTCTGTTGTATATGCAGTTTTTGCCTTTCTGTTATCTGCCATTCTCTCTAAATGCCCTAACTATTGCAGTCAATTAGCCCATATGATGCCAGTAATTAATGCAGATTTAGACTGATTATGAATTTTGTTGTTGCCTCTCTTTCCATTCTCTGCTGTTTGCATTTGTGATGGGTTCAAAAGTCTGTAATAAGGCTTCATCTCTTTTAGCTGTACTCAGGTTTCAGAGCCATATAGGACAACTGCTTTTACCAATGTATCACAACATTACTAAATATATAAGGGGAAGACATAGAGATAAACAAGTGTACTGAGAACATGACTGACTAGGCACCCCCCAAAAAAGGTGTCTTCATTGGCCATGTCTATCGTGTGGATTTCAAGCTGTACAACAGACATGGCCAGTGAAGACATCTTTTTTAGGGGGGGGGGGGGGGGGGGGGGAGAGTTGCCTAGTTGGTCATATTCTTAGTACACTTGTTTCCACAGCAAGGCACACATGGTATCTGGAGGTGACAGGTCTGATTTCCGTCATGGTAACTATAGCTTTCTATAAGTGTCAATCAATACACTGCCTGTTTAGCATCTATGCAGTTTTCTAAACACTGGCTGTGAATTGTGCTAATGCAAAAACTTTCCTATTACTTTCAACAGTATATCTGGTTTATGGGAACTTTTGGGAGTTTCTGCGGCAAAGTAATCAAGTTGTGTGCTTTGTGCTCTGAAGGTCGTATGTTCAAGCATTGTTCAGTTCACAAGTGCAATTTTTACAGAGATTCATAGGGATCGTTGCTGAAGCTATAGAGACTGTGCTTTGTGAGATGCTCTCTGCAGGCTTTAGTCAAACTATGACAGTTAAGTCAACCCTCAGGGCTTTAACCAAACTCATTTAACCTATAACTTTAATTAACTTTTACTTTTAACTTTAAAAGTCAATTTTCACTTTAATTTTCAGTTTAATCTCTCTCTCTCTCTCTCTCTCTTTCTCTCTCTCTCTCTCTTCTCTCTCTCTCTCTCTCTCTCTCTCTCTCTCTCTCTCTCTCTCTCTCTCTCTTTCTCTCTCTCTCTCTAACATTTTTACATGTAATTTTTAACATGGTTTTAAATTTAACTTTAAATTTCAACTGTTAACTTTAATTTTAAATTTAACTTAACTTTTCATGTTAAAAGCATAAGAAAACTCACTGTGATGGTCCCAAGGAGCGTGCCACACATCTCTGCAGAAGCTGCTGTTGTGTTGTGGGGTGAAATCATCATAGGATGAATGAGGTGAGCTGGAGCTATGTCCACTCTCTTCTTTAACAGAGTAGAGAGCATCAAAGTTCAGAGCACTTAGAGAGGAGCCCGTGCTCCATCTTCGTCTCAGATGAACCTGCGACATTTTGCTCTCTGGCTTCTGGTCTGCCCTGCTGTCACTGCGACGGGAAGGGGCAGGGTAAGCCTCGTTCATCACCCTGCGACTCACACCAGTTGTTTGTGAAGCTGGAGCTACTCCCTGTGGCTTACCAGTTTTAGCCCCGGCAGCAGGGTTATCAGTGCCACTCCCAGACTCTGTATTGCCTCCTTTCTTGGCCAGCAATGCATTTCCACTAGCTGAAGTCTTCATGTCCGTGAGGGACCTGTACATCCTCAGCTCCCCAATCACATCAGGAGGGTTGTTGATTTCCACTTCTAACGTGGTCAACTCTTGATGTACCTTCTCACAGTTTTTCCCTACACTCTTTTGATCTGTAACTGCACCAGTATTGTCCTCTTTTAGTCTTTCTAGGTTACTTTCCAAATGAGGCGGCTGAAAAAGAATTCTTTCCAAGTCTTCAGACATGTCAGCACAACCTCGTCCATCTATGAGAGCATCAATGTGCATCTGCATCTGCCTGCAGGAGTGACTGTGTTCTTCTATTCCCCCGCAGTGACAACAAGGTGGGGCATCTCCTCCAATAATCGCCTGGAGTTCAGCCTCTTTCTCATCCACACAATCACAGCCAGAACAAGCTGGAACTAGCACCTCCCCGCAGTCAGCACACTCGTGGCAGCCACAATTTTCCAAGTTGATGCCGTCTCCAGCATCACTCCCACAAGTATGAGCGATTTTACATTCAATTATTTCTTCATCAACATGAAAATCCTCACAAATCTGGTCATCACAATAGTTGTTATCTGTGTGCTCCAAATCATTTGAGCTCTGGGAGGTTTTGCATGGGGCCTTTCCTGCCGTTGCGGCCAGCCTACGATCGGAATCATCTACAGCAGAACTTCTTGTTTTATTCACTGTTGGAAGCTTGCCACCGTACTTCACATCTGACTCCCTGCCCAATCTGGCAGATGCTTGAGGCAACATCGAGGGAGCTGTTTTACTGACTGGAATAGGAATCTTTCCTTTCTTCACGGCAACTTTCTGTCTCACGTTCTCTGAGCTGAAACTTTTGATACTCCTGTTAGTAGCCTGAACTGAGCCTCTCTCACTGTCAACACTGTTGTGATGAAGAAGCTTTGCTGAACTGCCAAACGGAGTTTTGTTGCTTCCTATTTTAACATCACATACATCTCTAACTCTCTGGTCACTATCCTGGCTTTTGGAATCCAAAGTTGACGTGGAACTCTTCTGATCACTTCTGCTGGATGACACCGAAGATGATGAGAAGCCACTTACCACATACTGACCACAGGTCACTTTTCTGGACGATGACGAAGATGAAGATGTAGTTGATGACACTGACTTAAAAGAACTGTTGTTGCCACTGCCGGCAACACTGTTAGAACTCCCATAGCTGTTGGCAGCAGTTGCAGAAGTATAAGCACTATCTGTTTTCGATAGAAAACCATCACTGCCATTCTTAACAGGGCTAAACACTGGACCATCTTCATTTTGGAAACAATATTGATCACCATTGACACCACAGCCTCTGTAGGTTTGAAGCTGTACATTTCTCCTGCCACCTCCAAAGTCTTGTGTATCTAGTTTCCCTGTACTGGATGATCTGGCTGTACCTAGAGTTTTCTGCAGTCGTGAACAGCTGGGAGAATGGGAAACTGGTCTGGCTTTCTGCGCTCCTGTTGCTTTATGTGTCATCTGCTTTTCTGTTACCAGTGCCTTTCTAGAGTTCATTTTTGGATCTCTAATGGCATCAGAACTGTTCGATCTTATCTTTTCTGAGTATGGGCTGCCAGCTTTTGCTTTGTTGCTGACCATCTGTCCCACTCCTGCCCGCTTTCTCACTGGCTCAACAGTGTGGTCAGCGCAGTGAAGCGGTGTACCAATGTCCTGAGGCTGGATCTGCGTGCCATGGAGGGGTGAAGACTGACTGTGGTGATCTCTGCATGATAAACCTGCCCCAGCGTGAGACTGAGACTTCCTAGAGAATTCAGGAGAGCTTTTGGAAGGAGAGCTGTGGCTTCTTTGAGAGCAGGAACAACCACAGCAAGAGACAGTCTGACGGTGTGTTGGGGAGCATGGATGTGACCGACATGGGGAGCAGGAGTGGGAACGGCTGTGTTCAACGTCCAGGATCGGGCTGAGAATTATGGGAATTTTCACAGGATCAAAGAGGGAGGACACTGGGGAATGGGTTAACTCCTCCTCACCATTCTCTCTGTCAGCAAATTCACTACTATGGCCAGATTTCCTTCTCTCTTTGAGAAAGCTCAGGTCAGGCAGTGAACGCAGTGTGTAGTACGTATTCAAACCCATGCGGGATGGTGACAAACTGGCAGTGCGGTAAAGATGTGACTCCCGTACACGATGCACCTGGCAATCATTAGCTGAAGCCGCCCGATGCATAGTGAGAGTCGGTGATGCCTTCTGAGGCTGCCTGACTGAATCTCTAGCCAATCCATCCCTCTGGTCACTTCTATGGCCACCCTCTTCTGGGTGGCCTGCAGCATGGGAAGACTGAGGCATGGCCACAAAACTGGTAAACTCATATTCATAATTTGGTGCAATGAAACCATTGTCCATATCACTGCCCACTTGATGGCCAGCATCATTACTCTCCTTGTGTTCAGCCTCCTTGCTGTAGCGCTCACAAACCTCTTGTAGCAGGGAGAAGAGATCTTTCTCTGGTGTGTAAGGAGAAGTCTGTTGAGACTGATGGTTCAGATTCAGCTGATGGGAGTCTTCTATTGAAGTCTGCAACCCACAGTCTTGAGTCCTAGAAAAAACAAACAAATGAGACATAGTCGAAATGAACATTTGCTTTTCTTGGGGCTAAAACAGTCATATATCAGACACAATCCATCATCAATTTGAACCGCTATCTGTCTATCTTATAGACAAAGTGAAAGCGCCATTAGAACAAGAGCTGGAATCACAGACTGGTTCCCAGTAACATCAGGAGTAAGACAAGGTTGTGTATTATCACCTTTACTTTTCATAATATTTATGGACAATATTAATAAAATAGACATAACACCAACAGATGTCGATAAACAGGAGGACTTCAATGAGCTGCTCTTTGCCGACGATCAATACATATTTCACAGTGATAGTAAACAGCTGCAAGACCACATAAACCTACTACACAACAGTTGCCTCAAGCATCATATGAAGATCAATACTGAAAAGACAGAAGTCATGAGCATAAGTAGAGAGCAACAGACCATCGACATAAAGATTCTAGATCACAGCCTAAAACAAGTTCAAGAATTTAAATACTTGGGAAGTATCTTTACATTCAATGGTAAAATAGACAGAGAGATCGAAGCAAGAATCCAACAAGACAACAATGTCGCATACCAGCTTATCCCAATTTTAAAACACCCTGCTGTCCCAGCTGAGATAAAAAGACAAATTATAAATACTATCTTTATACCGACATTAGGTTATCAATGTCAGACTTGGACATTAACAAAAGAACACGAGAGAAGACTAACCACCTGTGAAATGAGATGTTTGAGAATGGCTGCGAATAAAACCAGAAGAGATCGAGTGAGAAACGATGTGATTACAAGAACTATTGGAACCATACCCATCGTTAAATTTATTGAGAAGCAAAGAATGAAATGGTTTGGTCACCTAATGAGAATGGAACCAACGATGCCAGCATCAAGAGCATACAACATGAAAATCGAAACACCAAGAGGCAGGGGAAGACCAAGAAGAAGATGGATTGAAGGAGTCATGGACAACTTGAGACTTCATAACATCACGGCATATGAAGCGACTGAGCGCGCCCTGGCTCGGTTGCCGATCATCTGATAGACTGTGATGCCTAGCGGCACAAGCAGATTTTGACAAAAGAAATAAGATCTGGGGAGCTAACCTCTCCTAGATAACATGTTATAATTCTGGCTCCTGTTCATGCTCTTATTTCATTGTGTGTTTCTTAGTGTTGTAGCTCACATGTCTGTTGAGCGAGGTTTTCTGCATGTTGTTTGTAGGGCCGTCATCTTAGTGCTGACTGGTTAGTTTAGTGCTCGCTATGTTGACGGATTATAGGATCTCTGCACAAGTCCTAATCTAAACTGCAGTTGAATATGTCTCAAAACTGTGTGTTGTCCATAATTCGCATGCACACAAAACAATAGGTTTGACATATCAATGTTCCACCTTTTTCATCCATTTTTTTTTTTTTTTTTTTTTTTTTTTTTTTTTTTGTGGTAATGTTTTCCACCTGGTAAATGACTATTATACTACAGCAATTCTTGTTCTTTTTATTTAAAAAAAAAAATTGTAATTAAAAAAAAAAAAAGCTTCTTCCATCAAATGTCAGATCATGTGTCCGGGATGATGCTGACCATATTACCCACCAAGTGCTACACTATTTGGTTTATAATAATATAAGTCTAGTAGCATTTAGCCAATGATCATCTTATGGTCCATACCACGTGGTTTTGGTAGTCATGTCGATCCACAACCTTCTGTCTTGTGTACTTTCAATCAATTCTGACATAGCTGATCTCTCATGCCTTAAGGTCAAATGACCAGCATCTTCTCTCTCGGTCTCCCTCTGCCTCTCTTTCCCTCCAATTTTCCTACTGTCCCGACGTACTCCAGTTTTTCTCCTTCTCATAATAACATTACCAAAGAATGCAGATTGTCTACTTCAGATGTGAGCGACCAGTTCTCTTCGTGAGTCAGTTTCATTACCCTTGTTATCTGCCCAGGGTATTCTCATCATTGCCTAATGTGTCACTGATAAAAAAGCATCCCTTCTCTTGGTTTCTAGGTGGATCCAGCCTGAAATGGATACCAGGAAATGTGCAGACAAGTCCGTACAATGTCCATGTATGACATCACCGACTGAGTGTCAACTGATCTGCAAAAATGTCAATCAAGCAATACGTGCCCACTGCATCGCAGGCAGAAGGAAAATCTCTTCATTCTCCTTTTTTTCCATTAACTGAAAAACCATCCAAGGGTAAAAGAGTTAAGCTGAGTTCAAAACCAACACCACAGCACTAAGGATATTTCCATAATTGATTCATCTCCATCTTCGGCAGCCAGCACAGTGTTTCAATTCCGATGGTACCAATCAGTCTGATTGTAAGTCCATCCCGCCTTCCTCTGAGTGCTGAGTGTCAGCTAAGTCCCCTGGTCGTTCCCCGCTGCACCCTGATGATGATGATGATCTATTTGCACTTCCGCACTGTTCATCACTAATAAAAGGTCTTGATTATATCTAGCTTTTTTACCAATTAATTTACCACCAAGTGGTGCAGAAAATTTTACACTACAAACAACTTCAATGTACTACACCCTCTCAGAGCTTTTTATAAACTAGAAACAAAAATGACTAACTTCAACATAAATTGCTGCTAGAAAGTTCAACCAAGGGAATGGATAAAATATGCACAAATACAACTAAACATTTCGACCTAAGTGCTCAAAGGAGGGAATGGAAAAGAGGCGAACAAATACAACTGAACATTTTGATTAAAGTGTTTAATGAAGGGAATGCAAAAGACATATACAAATACAACTGAACATTTCGATTAAAGTGTTTAATGAAAGGAATGCAAAAGACATATACAAATACAACTGAACATTTCGATTAAAGTGTTTAATGAAGGGAATGCAAAAGGCGCGCCTAAATACAACCGAAAGTTTTCACCAAAGTGCACGATGGAGGGAATGAAAAAGATGCGTAGAAACATAACCAAACATTTTGACCAAAGTAACTTAAAGAAGGGAATGAAAAAGATGTGTACAAACACAACCAAACATTTTGACCAAAGTAACTTAAAGGAGGGAATGGAAAAGATGCACACAAACACAACCAAACATTTTGACCAAAGTAACTTAAAGGAGGGAATGAAAAAGATGCACACAAACACAATCGAACAATCTGATCAAAGTAACTTAAAGGAGGGAATGGAAAAGATGCACACAAACACAATCAAACAATCTGATCAAAGTAACTTAAAGGAGGGAATGGAAAAGATGCACACAAACACAATCGAACAATCTGATCAAAGTAACTTAAAGGAGGGAATGGAAAAGATGCACACAAACACAATCGAACAATCTGATCAAAGTAACTTAAAGGAGGAAATGGAAAAGATGCACACAAACACAATCAAACAATCTGATCAAAGTAACTTAAAGGAGGGAATGGAAAAGATGCACACAAACACAATCGAACAATCTGATCAAAGTAACTTAAAGGAGGAAATGGAAAAGATGCACACAAACACAATCAAACAATCTGATCAAAGTAACTTAAAGGAGGGAATGGAAAAGATGCACACAAACACAATCGAACAATCTGATCAAAGTAACTTAAAGGAGGAAATGGAAAAGATGCACACAAACACAATCAAACAATCTGATCAAAGTAACTTAAAGGAGGAAATGGAAAAGATGCACACACACACAATCAAACAATCTGATCAAAGTAACTTAAAGGAGGGAATGGAAAAGATGCACACAAACACAATCGAACAATCTGATCAAAGTAACTGAATGGAGGGACTGCACTTCTAGTTCCATTTTTTTTTTGTATTTAGCACTTCTTACTATCAGCTTGACTTGCAGTCACCCTCTATTTACGTCAAAAACACAGAGACCAGAGACAAGACTCCACTCACCTTGGAGGAAACTGTGACGACACATTTTTGGTTCCCAGCCACAAAGTTACAGTATTCGGGGACATAACCGTCTCTTTGGAAGTCATCATACGCAGTGAGCGTACGGTCTGAGTACATCCTGACTTGACACCAGCAGAACTGGCATTGTCTGTGTTGGTCAAGTCCAATCGCAGTTTCTCTCTGGCCTCCATTTCTGCCCTCAGCTGAGCCCGTTTCTGTATGATGTCACTTCTTTGTACGCACATGTTGTAAAATGGATAGTGCCCTGTAAATACATACAAAAATAGATAGACTGAAGTTCAAAAAGGTGGACAGAGCATGGCTCTTTTCCTTCTTTGCATTCACCAGCTTCAAACTCCGGCGAAAAGTTCTGGTTGTTTGTCCGCTTCTGGACTTTAGTCTTCATCTAGAACATGAGTGTTGCATGCACATCCACTTAACAGATCTGACTCAACTGTGTGCAGATTGTTGGTCCCTTGCATCTCAGGCAGATGAACTCCGACTTCGAAGGAAGCTCCCGATTGCTCGACTCTTACGACATGCTTGTTGGAGAGGCAGTGGGTCTATTCTTGTATTCCCCATAATGGGGCCCCAAACCCACACAGGAAATGGTTCTTTTCTTCTTCTTTTTCTTTGTGTTTATCAGCGTAAACTCCGGCTGAAAGTTGTTCTTGTTTGTCCACATCTGGACTCTAGTCCTATTACAGAAACTGAGTGTTGCACGCACATCCGTTTTACAGGTCTGAGCCATTTGCATGCAGACTGTTGGTTCCTTGCCTCTCAGGCAGATGCACTCCAACTTTGAAGGAAGCTCCCGATTGCTCGACTCTTACGAAATGCTTGTTGGAGAGGCAGTGGGTCTATTCTTGTTTTCCCCACAATCGGGCCCCGGAACCCACACAGGAAATGGCTCGTATGATCTGGCAGCTTCCTGGGGAATCTTTTGTTCGAAAAACATTGGTGGTACCTTTCATTTACAGTTAACAAAGCAGGCTGAGAGAGACAAATCACGCAGCATGGGCAACATTTGGTCTCTACAATACTGACCCCACTTTGTGCTATGGAGAGGAGGAACTTCATCCTAGGCCTTAATTGATCTGGCCAGGATCTGTGATCCTCAAGCCACCCTATATCACAATTTAACACTATTATGTGGAAAGATGAGAATTGCCAACAAGATAGACAAATGATTTTAACACTATTATGTGGAAAGATGAGAATTGCCAACAAGATAGACAAATGATTTTAACACTATTATGTGGAAAGATGAGAATTGCCAACAAGATAGACAAATTATTTTAACACTATTATGTGGAAAGATGAGAATTGCCAACAAGATAGACAAATGATTTTAACACTATTATGTGTAAAGATGAGAATTGCCAACAAGATAGACAAATGATTTTAACACTTATGTGGAAAGATGAGAATTGCCAACAAGATAGACAAATGATTTTAACACTATTATGTGTAAAGATGAGAATTGCCAACAAGATAGACAAATGATTTTAACACTATTATGTGTAAAGATGAGAATTGCCAACAAGATAGACAAATGATTTTAACACTATTATGTGTAAGGATGAGAATTGCCAACAAGATAGACAAATGATTTTAACACTATTCTGATCTATTTTTTATCCATGTATTATCAGAATCCTGACATCTTACATCTTTTTTTTCATATTCTTCTTCTTCAGCAGTCCGAGCCTTTGAGGTTCATTGCTGCAGATATCACCCACCTCCACTCATCTCTCTGGATGGCCTTCTCTTTCCAGTTGGTGACACCAAGTGTTTACAGGTCAGTCTATACGTTATATCTCCATCGTCTTCTTGGTCTGTCTCGTGGTTTATGAACTTTCTGCTCTTTTTTTTTTCATATAAGCAAACAAAAAACAACTGTTTACATATGTCACAAATCTGTTCGTCACTGTGTTAGAAAAGTTATTTGTTCATATCTTTAGTTTTTTTAATGAAAGTTACTGTTTATATTTTTAATAATCCTTTATTTTTTAGTTGACCAAAGCCAAAGGTTCACACTGACCACAGATTACTAGCTTATTAAATAAGACAACTGCTCACAGCTGTGACAACTCTTTAGCTTAGTTGACCGAAGCCAAAGATTCACAGCAACCACAGATTACTAGCTTACCAAAGACAGCTGCTCACAGCTGTGACAACTCTTTAGTTTTTAGTTGATCTAAGCCAAAGATTCACAGCAACCAAAGATTACTAGCTTACCAAAAAAAACAACTGCTCACAGCTGTGACAACTCTTTAGTTTAGTTGACCGAAGCCAAAGGTTCACAGTGACCACAGATTACTAGCTTATTAAATAAGACAACTGCTCACAGCTGTGACAACTCTTTAGCTTAGTTGACCGAAGCCAAAGATTCACAGCGACCACAGATTACTAGCTTACCAAAGACAGCTGCTCACAGCTGTGACAACTCTTTAGTTTTTAGTTGATCTAAGCCAAAGATTCACAGCAACCAAAGATTACTAGCTTACCAAAAAAAACAACTGCTCACAGCTGTGACAACTCTTTAGTTTAGTTGACCGAAGCCAAAGGTTCACAGTGACCACAGATTACTAGCTTATTAAATAAGACAACTGCTCACAGCTGTGACAACTCTTTAGCTTAGTTGACCGAAGCCAAAGATTCACAGCGACCACAGATTACTAGCTTACCAAAGACAGCTGCTCACAGCTGTGACAACTCTTTAGTTTTTAGTTGATCTAAGCCAAAGATTCACAGCAACCAAAGATTACTAGCTTACCAAAAAAAACAACTGCTCACAGCTGTGACAACTCTTTAGTTTAGTTGACCGAAGCCAAAGGTTCACAGTGACCACAGATTACTAGCTTACCAAAGACAACTGCTCACAGCTGTGACAACTCTTTAGTTTAGTTGACCGAAGCCAAAGGTTCACAGTGACCACATATTACTAGCTTACCAAAGACAACTGCTCACAGCTGTGACAACTCTTTAGTTTTTAGTTGATCTAAGCCAAAGATTCACAGCAACCAAAGATTACTAGCTTACCAAAAAAGACAACTGCTCACAGCTGTGACAACTCTTTAGTTTAGTTGACCGAAGCCAAAGGTTCACAGTGACCACAGATTCCTAGCTTACCAAAGACAACTGCTCACAGCTGTGACAACTCTTTAGTTTAGTTGACCGAAGCCAAAGATTCACAGCGACCACAGATTACTAGCTTACCAAAGACAGCTGCTCACAGCTGTGACAACTCTTTAGTTTTTAGTTGATCTAAGCCAAAGATTCACAGCAACCAAAGATTACTAGCTTACCAAAAAAAACAACTGCTCACAGCTGTGACAACTCTTTAGTTTTTAGTTGACCGAAGCCAAAGGTTCACAGCGACCACAGATTACTAGCTTACCAAAGACAGCTGCTCACAGCTGTGACAACTCTTTAGTATTTAGTTGACCGAAGCCAAAGGTTCACAGCGGCCACAGATTACTAGCTTACCAAAAAAAACAACTGCTCACAGCTGTGACAACTCTTTAGTTTAGTTGACCGAAGCCAAAGGTTCACAGTGACCACAGATTCCTAGCTTACCAAAGACAACTGCTCACAGCTGTGACAACTCTTTAGTTTAGTTGACCGAAGCCAAAGGTTCACAGCGACCACAGATTCCTAGTTTACCAAAGACAACTGCTCACAGCTGTGACAACTCTTTAGTTTTTAGTTGACCGAAGCCAAAGGTTCACAGCGACCACAGATTACTAGCTTACCAAAGACAGCTGCTCACAGCTGTGACAACTCTTTAGTTTTTAGTTGACCGAAGCCAAAGGTTCACAGCGACCACAGATTACTAGCTTACCAAAAAAAAACAACTGCTCACAGCTGTGACAACTCTTTAGTTCTTACATTTTCAGTCAGCAGTAATGCCATTAGAAATAATCTGCCTTGTCTCTCAGTATTTTACCTTAGCACAATCATGACACTGACCAAATTCACATAACATTTACGGCCATCGTGACATTTAGTGCGCCAACATTCTCATCACAGAGAATCAATCTATCCATTAGTTAGTCCCCCTGATCCAGGCTGTTCCCTAAAGGTTTACACCACCACCCTGAAATTTAAAAATCTCATTGCGGAGGGCAAACCAACAAAGTAGATCCCAGATACCCCTTTCAACCTCCAAACCAGAAAGCAACATACAACAATTTTCCAACTAAGAACAGGACACTGCAGGCCCAATTATCACATGCATAAAATAAAAACTGTACAGTCCCCACAGTGCCCATGCCAGACAACCACAAACACCTCAGCACAGACCTACCCACTCACAGAGGTAACCCACCCAATGGTCTGACCTTAGCATTTGAAACTGAACACAAAGAAGAAAGAAGAAAAGCCTCCAAAGAAGGTATAAATATGGCATCCGTAGCAGCTACACCAGCAAGGTGTTCACTTGCAATGGGTAGAGACAAAGGCATCAAACAGAAGTGCTTCTAGTGTACAGAAGTGCTACTAGTGTACAGAAGTGCTACTAGTGTACAGAAGTGCTTCTAGTGTACAGAAATGCTTCTAGTGTACAGAAATGCTTCTAGTGTACAGAAGTGCTACTAGTGTACAGAAGTGCTTCTAGTGTACAGAAGTGCTTCTAGTGTACAGAAGTGCTTCTAGTGTACAGAAGTGCTACTAGTGTACAGAAGTGCTACTAGTGTACAGAAGTGCTTCTAGTGTACAGAAGTGCTTCTAGTGTACAGAAGTGCTACTAGTGTACAGAAGTGCTTCTAGTGTACAGAAGTCTAGTGTACAGAAGTGCTTCTAGTGTACAGAAGTGCTTCTAGTGTACAGAAGTGCTTCTAGTGTACAGAAGTGCTTCTAGTGTACAGAAGTGCTTCTAGTGTACAGAAGTGCTTCTAGTGTACAGAAGTGCTTCTAGTGTACAGAAGTGCTTCTAGTGTACAGAAGTGCTTCTAGTGTACAGAAGTGCTTCTAGTGTACAGAAGTGCTTCTAGTGTACAGAAGTGCTTCTAGTGTACAGAAGTGCTTCTAGTGTACAGAAGTGCTTCTAGTGTACAGAAGTGCTTCTAGTGTACAGAAGAGCTTCTAGTGTACGGAAGAGCTTCTAGTGTACGGAAGTGCTTCTAGTGTACAGAAGTGCTTCTAGTGTACAGAAGTGCTTCTAGTGTACAGAAGTGCTTCTAGTGTACAGAAGTGCTTCTAGTGTACAGAAGTGCTTTTAGTGTACAGAAGTGCTTCTAGTGTACAGAAGTGCTTCTAGTG